TGGGGTATATGTCTGGGTGAGTAGTCAAGATCTACATCACCGGGCTGGCTATTGTAGGCAGGCTTACATGTACTCCGTGGGCCGCTACTCAGGATGGCCGATTGTGAGATTGCTGGGTGTTTGGGATCAACAGCACTGTCTAAATACTGCTCACAACATGTGGTGTTTTTGTTTGGACTGACAAATGATGTCGACTCTAACGGTATGTGACTGCTCTTATTTATATCGACAAGCGAGATGCAAGGTAGTAATATGTCTTGTCCAAGTAAACGGTGCACGTTAAGTGTGGCTGAGGGAAGATCAGAGTAGGATGCAGACTGATCAGTGTGTTTATAAGGTTTCACATTATTCGCTTTAGTGACTGATTTAGATCTTTTGCAGGTGCTATAGGCATCAGGAGAGATTATATGTTTTTTAGATGGCCTGGTCATTATCGGAAGTAATGTAAATACAAAGTTTAATTAGGTGGACAGCGATAGTTGTAATTTAACTTAGTGAACGTGTGAAGTTTTATGGTAGGATCAGACCCAGTATTAGTTAAGAGTAAATATATTAACGTTAATTGGTGATAGAGATAGCGTGAGAATTAGCAAGATTAATTTATGACGTTGAGTTCCTAAATAAGGTGTCAAATTGATAGAACCCTATCAGTGACGAATTATTTATCGCTATAAAGTGTTAAATTAAAGAGAAAAACTAATAGGAAAATAAAATAATACCACGTGAAAAAAAGTTACAACCTTCAAAAGCGCGCCGTGTTTGAGCAGGTGTTTCAGCACAGGTAAGACCTACCTCTATGCCGATGACTTAAAAGTCATCTATAAAACTGACATTTGCGATTTACGCAGTACTATGCAAACAATCCAACATGAACTCAACATGGTAGATGACTGGTGCAAACGCTGGAGGTTAGAGCTCAACATAGAGAAATGCGGCTGGTTATGTATAGGAGACACGTCTCTTAAAATGAAACTAACAATTAGCGATCACGCACTCCCCAGACTGGCATCAGTAACTGACCTAGGGGTACATTATTCACACAGTCTTAATTTCTCTGAACACATCTCAGCCAAAGCATCCAAAATGCGGAAATTGCTTGGCTTCATTCTCCGTAATTTCTATCAAAATGAATCTAAAATCCTTCTTTACAAAGTTTGTGTAAGACCTATCGTTGAATACTGCTCGTTCTTATTTTCCAACCTACGTCTATCTGATATACTAAAGATGGAAGGAATACAACGAGACTTCACCCGCAAAATACTTAAGACTGGCTCGGTCATTGACTACAGTTCTCGATGCCAAATCTTAGGAATAGCACCCCTTTGGGAGAGAAGGCTTAGGTCTAATTTGATTCTCTACTTCAAACTACTCAAAAACCTTACTTACTCAACATGTCAGATAATTCTTGCCCGAGATTCACATGCATACGAACTTCGAAACAAAGTATCTACGGTCAAAGTTGAGAAATACAGATCAAAAACTCGGGAAAACTTCTTCCTCACCAAGTATGCAGTAATATGGAACAGTCTTCCTTCCGAGACTCGCATGGCAGATGAACTACATACGTTTGTGAAACTGCTTGATCAAGCCCTCACTCGCACTGATCTTGCACGTACGAACACATCTGCACCCCACTCAGACATCATAGGCTCTCTCCATGTCTAGACCAAAATGGACTTCAAGTTCAGTTTGCCTTATTTTTCCTACTTTGCAGTTGTATTAATTACTTTTTCCACCCCATTTCTTCACTTGAAGTAGACAGGTAACTCACTGGACCTATCATTACTGTTAAACTAAACTCGGTCGATAAGGGACACTCACTACCACCCTAAAAAGTCAAGAGGACCCCACAATCGGCTGCCTACTACCAGTGGTCTTGCATCTATGGAACCTGTTACCAATCAACTGGTTAAGACAACAGAAAATAACATCAGCACCAAGTTACTGTGAGTTCCTTCCTGTTTATCCTATATTAACTTTTTACTCTTCTGTACACAATGTTGACTAGCAATTAATATTATTTCTCCACTCGTTCCCTTATCCACAACTCATACTTCTATACTTTTTCCGCCTGCTTAAATAAACAACTATCCTACAATATACCCTTCTTAACGCTTATACTCTGTTTGGCAAACTATACTTTATACTATAGTCAACAGAGGCACTGCATCGATGCTTTACCCACAGTCCACAGCTTGTAACTGCCTGATAAGCTTGTAAAATGGTACTTATAGAAATAGTGCTTTCCAACAAGTTGTGAAACAGAGGATTGTGTGAGGTATGACGTATATACAAAAATAAGCTTAAATGAGCCTAACATCACAAAAGGAGGGAGGGTGGAGTTACTGACCAGCAAGCATTGATGGTGAGGGCGATAACTTCAATCCACCCGTGTTTGTGGGGACAGAACATTTTGTATGTATCAGGCTCTTTATAATTGAGAATAAGACAGTCAATCTAAGATATAGATTGTCTTCCTACGCTCACCACTCAGACTCATGTTTCCAATAATATGCTGGATTAGCTATTCTACTAAGACAACCTATAACATGCTAACTCGGACTTTTACACTAGGATTGCGTGGCTGACATCGGATGGACAAAAAAAGAAAAGAAAAAAGACAATAAAAGATATAGTCACTAGTATTCTTAACACTTCACCCTCTATATACACACCCTTCTAATAAACCGCTTCCCTTGTACCAACCTTGACTTCCCTTCCTTCATGTGAGCTTACTCCAACTTGTTAAACATCACTACTCGTTGTTCTTTATTAGTACATTCTCTAATATGGAGCCTCTGACTTCACTTCACTCTAACAAGACATAATATGAATTTATTCTAATTTATTATACCTCTGTCCGTTCCACTACACAATGTTAAGCAACCTTTGGCGTTCATATCCAAGTGCCTTGCTGTTCCTGTGTTTCTTTTTTTTTCTCCTTCAGAATCTTGCTCTGAGAGCACAGCTATGAAACTTCTGACGTTTGGAGCAAACTTAACGTACGCGTCCTCTCAAGGTCATAGTTTACAGCAAGCGCTCTACGATTTCACTTTATAACAACTATAAACTTAATAAGTTGGGAAGCATTTTGCGAACCAACAAATATTGTAATTTATAGATCATGCCTGTAAAAACGGTGTGTACCTGCACATGCAGAAATATATTATTATTATTATTATGTACTGCACGACCTTGTTCTAATGAAGCCGTGTTGTGACGGGTCTATTAGATCTTCCTTGAGTAGGTGATCAGATAGTTGATTTTGTATCACTTTTTCCATTATGCGTGATATGACTGGAGTGATATTTATAGGTCTGTAGTTTTCTACCAGGTTTCTCGGTCCGGATTTGTGTTTGGGAAGAACATACGTTACCTTCCAGGTTTCCGGATATGTACCTGTCTCTAAAGATAATGTGTATATTTTGAGTAGTAGCGTCTGTATGTCCGGCCCTGACATTTTATAAACGATTGAAGGGATGTCATCGGCACCAGAACTCGCATTTGGTTTAAGGGTTTTAATGGCGGTATGTATACTCATAATGTCGAAGTTTATGGTACTAAGATAGTTTTTGCCGGTGCACTTTATGTCGATATCTGGGGCATCAGATGTATTCCCATTGTGAGAAAACCATTCACTTAATAGTTCACATATGACGGTTTGGTCATTATACGTTACTCCATCGTGCAGTAAGGAGTGAGTGTTGTTGTCTGTGTTCTTTCTTATGCTTTTCGTGAGACGACATAGGGCTTGGGCTTTAGATGCAGCAGCGAGCGCAGTACGTTCCTCTACCTGTTTATGCTTGTTGTGTTGACTTTGTACTCCGTCAAGTACAGAGTATATCTGGTGCAGGGCACTGAAGTCTTTTGATATATAGTACATCCTTTTCAGTTTTCTCAGTTTAGACCTAGTCTTTTGGTTTATATAGGGAGTAACTGTTTTAAAACCAATTTTAGAGGGTATAGTGGTGTCTAGTGCAGATTTGGTGGTGATATTGAATATTTCTAATGTTTCTAAGAGGTTATTACTGGTAAAGAAACTGCCCCAGTCAGAGTGCTTTATTAGAAATCGAAAGTTTTCCCAGTCAGCGTTTGCATAGTCTCTATATTGAAATCGCGTTTTTAATGTCTTTAATTTGTTGCATATGGCAAGAATCGGAAGGGTGCAGAGGACTATTTTATGATCGCTGTTGTGAAACTTTTCGCTAACCACCATTGATGTTGGTGTGACACTATGACAGAATATCAAGTCAAGAATGTTGTGATTTCGTGTAGGCAGGTGTACATGTTGTTGCCAGCCGTGTATGTCTAAGGACCTAAGTATGCTTTCAAAGCACAATGGGCCAGAATGTGTCTTCCAGTTGATGGTGGGAAGGTTGAAATCACCACATACAATTTTGTATGTGAAGTCAAGCGAGGCAGCCTGAGCAAATGACTCACTTATAATAGTGTCAGTTGAACTAGGAGTGTTAGGAGCTCGATATATGCATCCGATCAGTATTTTACATTCATGAGTGTGCACAGTAAGCCATATCGATTCAGGAAGTTTGCTGAGGACGTGGTCGCTATAGGTTTCCGCTCTCAAATTTTTTGATACATAGACGAGACAACCACCACCCTTCTTGGTGACTCGATCACAGCGGAAGAGCTCATAAGTGTCTATTTGTAGAAATGTGTCTGTGGTATCGGAGGACAGCCAACTTTCCGTTATCAAAACAAGTGATGCCTTTGTGGTTCTCATATTTGCTCAGACCTTTTTACTTCAGTACCTTGATGAATTACATGGAATGTTCGATTAGAACAGGTTGTAACACAGGTATAAGTGAATGCCTTCAGTAATAATCTAAACCTTATCTAGAAAACATTATTATTTAAAAATTTAAAAGATCGAGAGACCTACTATTTTTACGACTGCAGACTTTTTATTTAGTACTTTATGTTTGTTTTAGTGTTTACAAAATTGGATACCACTGATACCAAACGACCGCACAAATTGAAAAATGGAAGCAAGTTATGTTTACTCTAAAAAACGCTCCGAATTCGGGAGGCAGTGTAACTTAAGCGACAAAAATGCTGAAGTCCTGATAGAAATATTACCGGATGCAGAGTTGTCTCAAAATTTCATCGAAATGAATCCTGTAGACAAAGGTGTTCAGTGCTCACAAGAAATGTCTGAACACGAAGCCAATACCGAAAGGTACAGATCAGAAACACATGGAATGAATCACACGGAAGGTGGCTGGCCGAAAGATGTCAATCCGCAGGAACCTGATCAGGTAATTAGATATCGAAAGAAAGTTGAGAAAGAAGATGTCTATATTGCGACAGTTCATAAACTAGGAAACGTATGTTCCTTTTCATAATTATTATCATTACAGATTATGGAACATTGTATTAAACAAAATAATGCCCTAAACATATACGAGAACTACTTCGATGACGTGTATCTAAATGCTTCTGAAGATTCCCCATCTGCAAAGACTATAAACGTTCTAAAGTGAAACAAGTTCATCTTTATATTTTGATGATTTAGAGACATAAACGATTATAAGCGCAGCGTTGCCTACTTATCCTGGTTTACAGATGGCCCAACGAAATTAGCAGTTGCTTATTGTAACACGGAGTTTCAATCTCAGTCCCTATCGAATGATTCATATATATGGGACTTAAACAATCCCAATAGACCAGAGTTGATACTTAAACCAGCTTCTCCTCTTGTTTGTATAGAATACAACCCTAAAGACTCTCATACGTTAATTGGGGGATGTTACAATGGACAGTTGGGTAAATAATATTTGAATTCGTCACATTCTCAAAACTTAGCTTTCTGGGACAGGCGTAGGGGCTCACTCCCAGTTGAATTATCTCCAGTTGAGCATAGTCATAGAGATCCTGTCTGGAAAACGCTGTGGATACAATCGAAAACTGGTACTGAGTGTTTCTCCACTGGGACCGATGGACAAGTTTTCTGGTGGGATGTTAGAAAGATGTCTGAACCTACAGAATTTCTTTACCTTGACCCTACCAAAAAACAAAACATTTCTTGTGCTCAGGGTGCGTATGCACTAGAGTACGAATCTACAATGCCAACGAAGTTTATGGCTGGAACCGAGCAGGTAAGTTGACCAACCCTATCTTTTATAAAAATGTGACATCCTTATCAGAAACTATTTCTGGTGCAGAAACTTTAGGATCTTGCTTCACAATCCAACTTGTTGGTTGCTAGGTAAGATGAATTCGGAATCGTACCGACTTAAGCACATGGTAAACTTTTGCCCGGCCGTTGTTGCTACCTTGACGTGGTGGTCGGGCTTGCCCATCGTGATGAAGCAACCGAGTTATACTGGCTGGAACAATCGTTCCTCAAGGTTCTACAATGACTGACAGGTCGGTTGAAGAGCGGTACGACTAAAAGCAGCAAACCCAAGGTCCGAGGGTGAAGTTGCACTACTAACTGTAAAAAAGTGTGACAGCAGTAAGGGGTTTCTCTCAGACAACCAGCATAGCAATGATACTGCCTTCCCACAATAGAAGGGTGAGGTTAGAAAAGGTTGACCCTAAAAATACACAACTCATCTTATCCCACGGATTTCATTCTCCGGCGGTAAGGTCTCAACAAGTACGAAGCTAACACAGAAATACCCACAAACAAGTCGTATGTGACCGACCTCAAGCAGTTGTCCCTTCGGCACCGCAGTCACGCTCTCAGATCACTAAGCCCAATTTCCTTTTCAGTTACCTCTAGAAGAATCCTTCTACGGTGTGTGCAACCGGACAGTAACAACCGCCCTCATACCTTTAACGGCACTCAAGACCACTGTATTCATAATCAACCTCCCTTTTCAATTCCTATCATCTCTCCTACATCGACTTTCAAACCTAAACTTCCTCCTCGACTGCGACCATGACTAACGGCTCTAGTGCGAAAAATGCCGTCTCAGGTCTACTGAAATCTCGCTCCAAACTACACATTCGAGTCTTCAACGTACGCACCCTAATTTCAAATCGGTCAGCATGCCTCGTTGGCTAAAACCCTAGAATCTCGCACCATCGATGTATGCTGTCTCCGAAACACGCATACAGGATCCTAGTGTGATCATTCACTTGATCTCGCCTCTCCAAAACGTAGAGTCAACGAGATACACCCTCCGTTGATCTGGCGACCCGATGACTAGTTCTCATGGATCGGCAGGTGTAAGCATAGCACTAAGTATGAGGTCAGAACAAGCACTATTAGAGTGAATCCCCGTTAACAGTCGTCTATGTGCTATTCGGCTAAACGGCTCCGTAAGAACTCGGTAGGATAGGGACACACGTCGTTGCCTTTTCGTATTTTCTGCCTACGCACCCACTAATTGCAGCCCGGATGAAGTGAAAGATGATTTTCACGCTCAGACATAGTACTAGTAGTAGGTGAATTTAATGCCCAAGTAAGTAGCTTAAATGAAACAGAAACACATTTAAATGGGCATTTTAGTGTTCCGGCTCAGCGAACAGATAATGGTGATCGTCTTCCTCAACTGTGCTCAGACAATCATTTATTTATAGTGAGCATTAATTTAAGTAGAGACATCAGAGAGAGCACTATTTTAAGCATAAGGAGATACATCGTCTAATATGACGTCCCCCTGCACCAAACCAACAATGGACACCAATATACCATATTGCCATTAATTATAGTTGGAAAGGGTCGATAGAAGATTGACGTTCGTTCTGAAATACCTGCTAGCACCTCACTGGACGCAGAAAGGCCACACTAAGAAGACGTATAAGAATTGAATAAAGTGAAGAGAAAACCAAAAGTAGATCCTAAGAACAACTAAAGTCACACTTAGGTAGTTCTGAAATCGAGGATAACCCAGAGTTGAACGTCATCCCACCTGACTGGTCACAGTCACTGATTGTCCCAATATATAAGAATGGATCAAAATCATCCTGTGACAACCATAGAATTATTAGTTTGACTAATATAGCATCTGAAATACTAGCCTCAATAATTATCGGACGCCTAGTTAAGACTCGTGAACTGAAAATACGAGAAAATCAGGCTGAGTTCAGATCTGGTCGTGGCTGCGTCGATCACATATTCAACACTCGTCAGTTTCTAGGATACAGGCATGCTTATCGGCGTTCGACAATGAATTAAAAGCAGCATTTGACTCTGTAGACCGAGGGGTTCTGTGGCAGTGTCTGTCATTGAAAGGTGTACTTCAGAAGTGCATAAACCTTGTGAGGGCTCTTTACTCGAACACTAATAGTTGAGTCAGAGCTTGTGGCGAACTGTCATTCGAGTTCGAAACTTCAAGTGGTGTCTGGCAAGCTGTTTACTATCTCCATCCCTGTTCAATTTCATCGTAGGCCTACCGCTGGGAATAACGTTCTCGTCATCTGAATTTTCAGGAATCGGTCTTCTTCCAGGAGGTCCACTTATCGACTTAGAATATGCAGATGACATAGTCCTGTTTGGTGAGGACGCTGATAAAATGCAGAGTGTTTTGGTAGCACCGAGCAACAATGCCAGGATGTTTGGGATGCGCTTATCCCCTCTAAATGCACGTTATTGCTTCCGAACTTGCCTGCGTCAACATCTGAACTAAGGATAGAGGGTGAAGTAGTCGGAGGTGTCAACAACTTCACTTATCTTGGAAGTCTGATCAGCCGTAGTGGGTTGGTGTCTGGCGAAATCTCAGCACGGATTCGAAAAGCTCGTCTGGCTTTTGCCAACCTACGTCACCTATGGTGAAGGCGAAATAGCCGTCTATCAATTAATGGACAAGTATACTGCGCGGCAGTTCGTTCTGTTCTACTTTACGGCTGCGAAACGTGGCCATTAAGAGTAGAAGATACTCGTAAGCTTCTAGTATTTGACCACAGATGCCTTAGAAATATTGCCCGTATCTTTTGTGGCCGTCAGATAAGTAATAGTGAGGTTAGACGCAGGGTATTAGGGAATTATGGTAAATCAGTCGTTGTGATTGTAAATCCTCATCGACTGAGATGTTAAGGCAACGTGTTACGCATGCCCAACCACCAACTTTCCTTGTGTGCAATGCTGACTAGTGTTGGATACGGATGGAAGAAAATTGAGTTTGGCCAAACCAAAACGTGGCATTAGTCCTTGAAGTTACTAACGTCTAGTCTGAACTATACTAATAGTGATACCGAGCCTGTGTAATTTTTTGGCGTAAAACTTTCAGTCGTGGAGCAAATAGTCGATGAATAGCTGATGAAATAATTTTTACTTCCAGCATTTGATGAATCGTTCATTGATCTAGTGTCCACATTATTGTCATATGATACATTTCGCTTTGATTTTTCTTTTAGACTTTTTTCATTATCCATAACGTTTTCAGCATTATTAACAGCTTTCTCACTGTGTGGATTATTTCGTTGTCCCACATTACTGGGTAACTGCTGTTTCATAATGCCTTCATCAATTCTATTGGTTATTAATAGGTTTTTACTTTCACGTTTAAAACCTAATGATTTTGGCACGTTTTGTTGATGTTTACCTGAAGTAGTTTCAAAGTCGTTTTTAGATGTTTCTGTTAATCCATTACTATTTTCCCTTGATATGTCGGTTTCATAAATAGCTCCACAAGTATGTAGTTTTTCTGCGGACATCGAATTTTCTAAGTGACTACTACCAGTGTTTGTTTTAGTGAATTGAAAAGTAGATTTCATCTTTAATAAATGTGATACATAATTACAACAAGTCTCGTAGTCATCTTTTGTTCATTATTTATAGAGAAATAACCAAAATCCTCTCTACACTCAAAATAAATAAAACAGTTTGAAATTACTCACTTACAATTGTGGTCTGAAGATGCTAACCAGGTTCATTTATGTCCATCAAGTTTAAATTGTTATGATAACCAGTCAGATTAACGTGTTATATTATTTCGATTAGTCAACCAAAAATAGAACTGATTAAGTGTTGTGTGCCTACATTTCTAAAAAAGAAACAAATTAATGTGGTTACGAACATCGTAAACTATGTAGAAGTGTTATTTCTTAGTTTGCTAATAATCGTATTGCAATATTACAAGGTAGTTAGTTTTATGTTGTCATCACAGTTAAATATTTTAGAACCAGTTCGTTTTTCCAAAACTAACTAAAATCCGGATAATTAAAATGGCAATCGCTGAACGATTTCTAAGTTCTCACGTGTGTCACATGTCTAAAAACCCTTATCTAACCACCTTTTCCGTTTTCCAAACATTGTTGATGAATAATATTTTGTTATTTTAGGAATGCGAAAGATAACTAATTCATGAAACAAATAAAGTCCTGAAACTGTGGATTTAGAGGAATAAACTTTTGCCATATTGCTTACTAGTATTCAATCTGAGTAAGGAAATCCAGTGTTATGGGATAATGTGTTCTAAATGAAGTTACTAAACCTGCAAATATCACCCATTTCATTTGGGTTCGTGTATTCTGCACACGAAGTGAGGAACGTTAAAAGGGATCATTGTTATGTCCCCGTACTTCGTAACGTTCATAGCGTTTGCAAATGTTCAGGTATGGAAGATTCGTAAGATCTGAAAATTGATTGTCCAACAAATATATAGCCTGGAAACACTTGACGGCTGCTTCGTCCCATTGTGGGACTCCTCAGCAATGCGCGCTTGCGGGATTCAAAACCAGGGCTATCAGCCCCGCGCTCGACCACTGAGCCGGCATCCAACGGTGCTAATGTCTAACCTCAACCAATCTACGGCATTGCGCGACCATCTTCCATTGTACTGAGGTAGACACTTTTTTCTATAAGACACGGATTAGCTCCACTGGTCACGGCTTCTAACTAGAACTCCGAGAATTCCTTCATGAAGCTAGTCACTAGTGAGAACACGGCAATTATCAGTACAGGGTCGTGGAGATTATCAGGTTTTTTGATTGAGATTGAACCACCACTGAAAACCTGGAAGCACTGGACGAATTTATTATCAAGCTGTACATTCGTTTACTTTGGCTGTTTATACTTCCTCATAATATTTGGGATTGTTATTGATCAGTTTCTTTTTGGGATATTTGTATCCTTTGCAGATTACCTAGATAATACCAGTAATTCACAAGCATTATAAAGAAACTGATCGATTGCAATCATGAACATCAATGAAGTGGTTTAACACAACCAATACAGACGAATTAAACTTCATCCCGTTACACTAGCTATTGGATATCTGGACACAGTGATTAAGTGGATAACGCAACGGCGTTTGAAGCGAACGAGTGAACATGAACTCTGAAATGCAGGTACATTCAGCTGACAATTCTCAAATACATTAACACCGTCGGATGCCGGCTCAGTGGTCTAGTAGGTTAGGCTTTCGAGCGCGAGACTGAAGACCCTGGGTTCGAATCCCGCAAGCGCGATCGTAGATGAGCACTGCTGAGAAGTACCGCAATGGGACGAAATGGCCGTCCAGTGCTTCCAGGTTTCCAATGGTGGTCTAACATCAATCGGTTCATGATTTCAATCAATAACTGATTAATCTCCACAACCCTATACTGAAAATATTTAATCTTCCAACGAACTATCATGAAAAGGTAAATCAAGTAATAATGAACTATTTTTTACGTTGAAATCTGGTGTCGAAATTATTGTTACTATTATACTCGGAAAATTCTGGTGAATGTTTAAAATAATCAAAACACTTTGATTTTTGATCGTATTCTTTGGAAATTTTCAAATGCTGTTGAATAGGAACTGGAATTATTTATCTAAATAAATATTACTTTTAACAGTCACTTATTTGAAAATAGACACAGTTTATGATGTGCTACGGACATGAATTCGAATTTAACTCGTACCACCGACGCTGCTGATTTAAGCGTGTACCAGGTATGAAATTTCGGAAACTATGTTGGTAAATAATTTAAAAAAACAATGATTTATACAAGTAAACTATAATCACATTGACACTGCATGAACGAAAATTGTCAGCAATTTTGCTTGACAAATGTTTATTTCTAAAGTTTTTTTTGTATTTTCAACTCGATTCAGAATAGAGTCCTTAGAAGAATATGTTTAACAGTTTGGAATTTACAACCCAGAACACCAAGTTTTAGCTATATATCAAACCATTTTATACAGAGAAATGTTTCCAATTGATAAATAGCCGTGTGCTGTAAACTAAAATTTAGTAAACACTCTCAATTAAGTACCTTCATAACTAACTCATTGAAATATATATTCGGTGATATCCCATTGTTGAAGGTGATACACTGATATTTAGAACCTAGATATAGAAAACGGATATCTGTTCAAGATAAATCTGGAGCAAGAACGCTCCAAGTATTATAACTGCATCCCAAATGTAGTGCAGGAGTATTAGGTAAAACCAGAGTAGTAAACTAAAAACATTCAACTGTGGGGCTTATTAGTAAGAGCCTTACCGAACACAAAGGACATAATATGAATCAGATACTATATCAATAACTGATCAGCAGTCAAAGCAAATGAAACAAGACAAAGCAAGTAACTAAAACAAGGTAAAAGTTCAGTCATAACACACAAGACCAAATGACCTTGACTAAATTCACTTCGTATTTTTGACCAGGGACATCTAAAATACTATAAAAATGTTATATTTTCTGTACTAAAACGAATCTCTGGAGTAAAGTGCTTCTCACATATTTTGCGTCCTTTTCTCTTGTGCTCAGGTCGCTGTGTAGTTCTACCTTGGGAGTTACGAGAGTAGCTTGGGAACCGAATATAACATTCAGTTGGCATGACTTATCAGTGGCGATGGGAAAACTACAATGAATGTTTCTTTGGAGCAGCTAGAAGGTTATATGGAGCGTCAAGAGAAGAGGTTTGAACAGTCCTAAATCAGAATCATGGAAGTCCTGATGCAGAATGTGCCTGTCCCAGCAAAACCCTGCTACTTGGGAATCACGATTATCTCATACTGATTCAGTCACTATTGCCATCCATGAATTTAATTTTGATGGTGTAGCAGGTGCAAGGTTTGATTCTTGGTTTGGGAAGTATGAAGATTTGTTCTGTATTCATCTTAGCAAACTTGATGACGCCTCAAAAATCAGAATACTTCTAAGAAAACTTGGGACAACGGAACATGAACGTCATAGTAAGTTCATTCTCCCGAAGAACCCACGAGACTTTAGTTTTGATGAAACAATCGAAACCCTGTCTCAAATCTTTGGAGAAAAGTTGTAGAATTACGGTCTACTATGATATAAGTACTGCGCTAATAATAGACCTAATCCTAAAATTGTAGATTTGTCAAATCTGCCAAATCTATAAGACCTTACGTGGAAGTCACATCATCGTCTACACCAACTCACTGTATCATAACAATCACCAATATTTAATGTAGAACAAGCTTAGGCTAGAGAAAGAACAATATACCTAATATGGATAAAAGATACAAGGTAACATTCAGAGGGACCACGCTTGCAAGGTCGAGTCATGCCATCCGAACAACTCCATTTCATTCAACGCTTTTTTCCCGCTTTCTGCATCGTTAGGTATTTCTCCGCGTTAAATATTGAATATCTATTTTCCGAGCTGTCTCATGTTCAGCTTTGAGGATTGTGTGGTTATGGTCCAATGCCACTTACGGTCATCTCTATTTAGTATCCGTTAGCAATGCTTGAAGACAACGAACAAACCAGATGACTGAGTGAAACATGCAGGAGTTGTGAACCGAGAGTATGAGAGGTTCAAATTGTCTTCCATGACTGAAAACCAGTTTAAATGCCTAGTATTTGTATGTAGCCTGCGTTCACCCGAAGATGCTGACATCCGACCAAGAATCCTAAGCAAGCTTGAACACTGTCCCCAAATGACCCTGCAAGAAGTAGCTACCGAATGCCAAAGATTAGTGACTTTAAAGCATGATACCTCGATGGTAGACAACGGTAACCCGTTCCCTTACGTTAATGCAGTCGATAGAAAAGTCTTACTAGGTTCCAGCACGCAGAACGATCGTAATGACAGCGATAAACCATCATCCCCATGCTGGTTATGCGGTGGTTAGCATTTAAAAAGGTTTTATCCTTTTAAAACTCATCGCTGTACTGTGTTCTATAAATGGGCACAAAGAAAGTCGTTGCAGGACACAAAGACGCCGTCAACCGGAAGTGTGTTATAAAAGAGGCAAGTCATTCGAGCATCATATCGGAGCTTCGTTATTCCGTTAATCAGCTTGGCTGCTGTTCTCCGAAACACTTTCAAATTATCACTGCCTTTTTAAACAGAGACTAGCCGCTTACATCCAGCACTGATGTTTAGGGGGCACGAATACTGTATACAAATTGAAAAAAAGGTCTAGCGCCAACATTGCTAAGGACTCTACGCATTGTCCGTAAATTTCTAAAACGTTTGGCGGCAATTGCACTGTAGCGTGTGGTAGTCTTTAAGTCTTGGCTAACGATGACTCCAAAGTCACTGTGTATCTGGACAACAGGTAGCTCAGTGTTATTCATCGTGTATGTACCTGTATCTTGATGACCGATATCCGTCACAATACAGTTGAAAGTATTGATCGGCAACTGCCAGGTTTAAAATCATTCAGATAATTTCTCCACGTCATTTTGGAGTTCTGAGCTATCACTCTTACTTCGTATCGCTCTGCATATCTTGACATCGTCAGCATATCGTAAGACCGATAATTATAACAGACGAGAAGGATCATTCGCACACAGAAGGAATAACACTGGCCCCTAAAATGTATCCGTAGACACTTCGCTAAGCACAGTTTCCTAGCTAGACAACTTGGAGTTCACCTGTACTCTTTATTTGTGCTCATCTAGGAAGTCTTTCGTCCACATTAAAAGATTGTTTTCAACCACATTTCTTAACTTATGCAACAACTTGTTGTGCGGCACTTTGTCAAAGGCTTTGCTGAAGTCAAATTTCGCGTTTTTTCACCGAGTAGTCCTTTCCAAAATTTCAGCAATCACTCTGGTTAGCCTAACGGGTCAGTAGTTCTCAGTTTTATGTTTTGAAGATAGGATATTCTATGGCGTTCTTTTAGTCTTTTGGTAAACAACCCTGGGTCACGGATAAATTAAAAGATATACTTAAGGTGTTCGCAACGAAATTGGCTAGTCCCTTTAGTAATGCATTTATTCGGGTCCCACAGATCTGCCTAAATCAAGCTTATTTAGCAGACCAAAGACATTGAGCTCTTCAACGGTCGCATTTTTCAGTGTGTGTGTGCAATTTGTATGAACTGACTTGAGAGGTGTCTCTACGGTATACAAATTGCTAAAGTGGTTTGAGAATACTTGAGTTTCACCATGGCCGTCCTCCACTAATGATGAAGCATTACTGTTTCCTCATAGTTCCGGAATATTTCTTCTTCTTTAAGCCCTTCGATTTGTATATGAATACAATCGTTTAGGGTATTTTATAGATCTCTTAAGAGCTCTCTCTTTGTACAATCTTCTAGACTTACGGAAGGTCGAGGCACGAGTATTTCGAGCCTCTCGATATTGAGATTTTGTCTCGTCAGTCCCCAGTAACTTAAATCTTCCCGGGATTCTTTTCCGCTCACGGGTGCGAATCTTCCTACTGGACCATGGTGGAAAGTTTTTTGGCCCCGAGGGATGTGGAGTGCACTAACCTTTAAGCACAAACTTCATAATACATCACAAGCTGCGTTAATTGGGGCTCTGGCTTTATTGTCTAATCTACTGACGATGCTGAGTGTATAACATCTATATTTGCTTTCCAGACGTTAAGTCTGAGTTGTGCTGACGCGTGCTCGATTTTGACGACCATATGGAAGTCAAAGATTAGAGTATCCTAGGATTAAAAATCGACCACTTTGCAAATAAGTGCTTGGACTGTCTAGCAAAACCTCATTCATTTCACAGCCTGGACTGCTTTAGACCAAGCCAATCAGCAGGTCTCGTCCTTTTTACTTCATGAAGCAACTAAATAATTCGCACGTATCGCTCTCATGGGAAACACTGTCTATAATAATAAATGGGATAGTATTCCCAATGAATAGAGCTACCTCCTTTCCTTTACGCTTATTGATTCTGTCGGCTCTTACTAACGTGAGATCTTCAAAATCAAGTTCCCATCTATCTAAAGGCTGTCTCAGCCAAGTTTGAGCTTTCATTCTCCTTGATTATTTGAAACAAAACTGACCTGCCACTGTTATCAGTCTTCAACTTCTAGCCTACGTTTTTTGTTGGGGGGGGGGCTTTTATTTATTAGCGTCATGTCGTTTCTTGTTCTCGACCTCTAACCAATCATCAGCTTTCGTTGCAGCAGCAACCAAAGTCATGTCATAAACACTGTGGGATTCCGCGTGATTATCGACGACTTGAGAAGCAAGGTTGATTTTGCTGCCAGAAACAGATCAAATTTCGTGATTGGTTTTCTAAGGAATTGTCTACTGGTCGTAATTTAAAGGACAAGGGACAGGGAAAACTTCCTTTCTTGAGTCTTTACTTAGGATAAACGTCTCTAAAGTCGATCTTTCCTTATTTGACCAATTTAAGTCAATTATTAACGAGCTTATTTGAAGTGACATTACATCAATTTGTATATCGACAGAGCGAGTACTGTTCGATGAGTCTCGACCTCGTTTGCTAATACACTTTTTGGCAACATTTAACATTGAAATGGTCTCGGTTGGCAGGTTGTCTGAGTCCGAGCAGCACTGCTGACAAAACAACACGCAATCACTTTTACTAAATCATTTGAAGTCCGCAGGCGTTATATATGTGCAAATTTCGTAGTACCATTCTTTGTACTCGTCTCACTGCATGTCGCTTCCAACGGGGCATCGACAACCTAGGCGTTTGCAACTGCTTTTCTTGCACTGTCCAGCCACCAATCAGGTTTTAGAAAGGAAACTAAATACAGTGCTACCCAGAGACAAAAGAAATTGATGAGGAAAAAGTTGAAAACTGTAAATTATTAGAACCAAAAGTGCTAAAAACACGATAGAACACAATTAGATTTACCTTTAACAATTCAAAGTGTAAATTAGTCCATCTGCGACATGTTGCAGACTACATTTACAACTCAAGAAACTCCTCTCTAGTAGTATCCCAAGTCGAAGAAAATGTAGTCCTGGTGCTCTACGATTTGAAGTCTTGCGCTAACCGTCACAAAAATGCCTTTCGATTAAATCTTGCACTGGTAACATTGAAGCGCATTTTTGGTCAGTTTGACGGAAGAACTTACCACATAATCGTCAACAGTTTTATTCGTCCCCATTTAGAGTACGGAAACATAGTATTTCCTCCTTCACTTCAAAAGGATAAACACACTCTGAAGCCTATCCAACTGCGAACCACGAAATCAGTTCGGAGACTAAACGTCAAACCTTAAGAAGAGCGCCTTCAATCACTTGACCTTTACCCATTAGAGTATAGGCATCTTAAAGTTGACCTTCTGATGGCTTACAGTATCCTAAAAACCTACTTAAGCTTAGCCGTAATACAAACCTAAGAGGTAACATTCAGAAATCGGGGATAAAACATGGCAGAACAGGCTGTAGGCACAACGTCTACTCCTTAAGAGTTGTCGAATGCTAAAATTCACTGCCGACTGAACTTCCCGAGAGCCCTTTAAGAGGAAACTTGACCTATTCTTAAGAACTCAGGATAAAATCTTATTACGAGTTACCGATTTCTTTTTTTTCTAACCTGTTATAGTTATTATCCCTAGGTTTCTGCCTGGAGATATTGGTGATCCACTGCTACTATACACGGAAGCCCGTTAAGCGAAATCTTCTATTCCGTCTACAACCATTTGAAACACTTAAACAAAATGCTTCAGAGTATCGACGATAAACTTCTAAGGAAGCAAAAAAGGTACTCCTAGAAAATACTTTAACTGAAATTAATTCAAGTGAAAAAAGTAGTATTGATACGTAATAAACGATCAAAATTATAAAATTTACTCAGCGAGGAAAAATACAACTATCCTTTTTAAAAAGCGCTGCTCAAAATATAACTAAATCCTTGCCCTGATGCTTCAGAGATCGATTGCTACTAGATACACCAGTGCCTTAAGTGGAAGCCTCTTCCATTTCATCCACAACAACTTGAACCCTTTGATTTTGGATGTGTGACCTAGAGGGACAAGGTCACGGTCTCGTAACTCCGATGCTCAGTCGCCTTAGTTGAATGTCTGACCCAGCACTTTGGACACCTCCAGACTCACCGGAGTTTAAGGGGACAGGTGCTGTATTTTCTGATGATTTAGATGCAGACCTGTTGGCCGAAATCGATTGTAAGTATGAATTTGTATATCCGAGCATTTCAGATGATGTGCAACAACCAGTACCGTTTTTAGGGTTATGTTGTGAAACAGTAGATCCAATCAAGTTTTTGTCGTATGTTTTGAAGTTTCGGTTTTATCGTTGCCAGACGTTTTGAAACGAAAACAACCGTTGTTCAATGGGCCGATCCTCAAGAGATTTTATGCTTACTGAGGTTTGACAATCAAAAATAAAAGTTGATATTGAATGCAGAAACAAATTAGTCTTGCTCAAGAAATCCACTTCTGAATTACAGCGGGGTTCTTCAGGTGAAACTTTTTCTACCTAACTCTTTTCTAGCCCTTAGGAACGATGTTTCATTCCTTCTTTTCGCACTATATTCCTCCGTAACGTAAGATTTTCTTATCGTTTATAGCTTTCCAGGGAATCGGAGTTTGAAAAGCGTACAGTTGTACGATTAGTTAGCTGTATCCGTTCAATTTTGGGTTTCCTGGGACCATTTGCGAGTTTGGTGAGAGAAGAAGTATTTTGTTGTTGTTGTTTACCGTCCAAATAGGCAAACAAAAATCTTATTCATGCTCACTTAGAAATATGGTTGACAATGCTGAAAATCTTCAATTTTCTTTGCAATAAAGCAGGTTATTGTATTTATCTAATCCAACGATTCGTAGAATATGTGGTACTCGTAAATGAGACGCTTGGATTAAAACCACAGAGTTCTTTAAACGCGTGTGGTTACTTTCTGGATATTGTGTTGGAAAATTTAATACTTTATTCAGGATTGGTAAATGCCCAGTAAAATATTAACAGTGCTTAGACTAACATTCGAAGGTGCTCATGTGATGCACTCTTATGGGTCGTCATAATCCATTTCGTAGAAAAGGCATGTTTGCTTTCGGTTTCATACTGGATTTTAGTTTTGTATTTTGTGTTTGCGTCTAAATTGAGTGTAATGCACTCATTTTTATCACTACGTTTTTGAAATGTCTTTGACAATGCCGTCAACTTTATACATCTCACATTTGCTAAAATCTTCACTTTTTGTGCTTACATTGATTCTTTTCCGAAAATGTGAAAGCCTCCAGCGTATAAATGCTCGGTTAAACTATAGGAAAAAACTAGTTTAATTTCACGTCACTTAATATTGCTAACGTGACTCACCAACGAAACCTTCACTAGTATCTGGATATTCAACTTCAAGTTTCTGCAATTTCGTAGGGTTAGTGGTACCGTGAAAAGACAACGGAAATTAGTTTACTGATGGTTCGTAATTGTATGTGTATTATTTGATTATGTATGCACTACATATTGTCTCGATACGTCATTATTACTTGAGACTCAGTCTGCTTTACAGGAACAAACGTTTAAGTTACATCCCAGTCATTCATAAATTCGATTTCTGTTACCCAGCCTGAGTAAAGCACAAAGTCATGTTGGCAAATACACCTGAGAGACACATTTATTTCAACAGTCACTTTAAACTATTTAGCCTGGTAGATCCAAATGCCAACTTATACGGTTGTATAGTTTGCAAGGTATGTGGAAATGGTTGATATTCTGTCAGTGTACTGCGATAGATACTATATATCAATTTTCGCAGTCAGTCAGGAGGAGGTACCTGAAAAGGAAATTGGATTAGCGGTGGTCTTAGTGACCTGAGAGCGCGACCGCAGTGCCCAAGGAACAACTGCTTGGGGTCGGTCACACACGACCTTTTCATGGGTAATTTTTGTGTTAGCTCCGTACTTGTTGAGACCTTACCGCCGGAGACGGATAACCGTGGGATAGGGCGAGATGTACATTTTTAGTGTCGACCTTTTCTTGTGGGAAGGCAGTATCTCTGTCATGCTAGTTGTCTGAAGGAAACACCTTACTGCTGTCACACCTCTGTACAGTCAGCAGTAGGACTTCGCCTTCGGACCTTGGGTTTGTTGCTTTTAGTCTCACCACTCTTCAAACGACCTGTCTGACATGGTAGGACCTTGAGGAACGGTTGTTCCAGCCAGTATAGCTCGGTTGCTTCATAACGAGAGGCAAGCCCGACCACCACGTCAGGATAGCAACAACGGTCGGGTCAATTTTCGCAAGTCTAAGTTAGTGTTATATCTATTATTTTCAAAGTAAAAAAACCCTCAACAACCAATTTTTTCAACACTTGTCAACCGATTACCCCTCACAATCTAGTCTGAGTTGTGTAGTTTTCTAGTTCGTTAATTTATTTGACATGGGGGTAGATCAGTCGCTACTACTCAGATAAATAGTCCTTCATGGTGTCCTATTTGGCTTGAATCTACGGTAGTTTGTAGTCCTAAAGTATTATAAAACATTGATTAAAGGATTGTAGTGCTAACATCAAGTCAATGGGAGTGAAAGCCGATTGTAAAATAGACTAGTGCTGAAGAACTTCATATAAGATCATTTTTGAATCCATAATCTTTCAATTATCATCTGCAAAGTAGCAGTTGCGAGTTTTTTATTTTGGGTTTCTTCCAAGTACTGTTCACTTAAGAAGAAATCACTTAGTGACTGATATCGATGTTAGGCCTACGGTGCGTAACAATGATAACTTCGTTAGTGGCGTTGTAAACACCAACCAAGGGGTTTAAGACACTTGACGCACCAAAGTCGGTAACACCCACTGTGACGTGATATGCTAAATAGAGTAGGAATATGTTTGAGAAGTCCTAAAGCATTTAGACTAATAGTTTCAGCTGATAGTCACTGAATGTTGGTAAAATTTGTAGAGACTGTAGTCTTGGTATGTTATCAGAGATAGCATGGCACAAACATCAGTCGCAGTAGCGTGAACGCATTCGGTATTTTCTTCCATTGTTATTATGTAAAATACGTTCTCTGATTTCGCGTGTTTTCTAAGCTGTCCATTATTATGGCATTATTATTTTCTGTTTTCTCCTGGTTGATTTCCCTTCACTTTACTGATATGAACTGTTGCAACTGAACTTCCCGTTTTAGCTCATTCGATGACTAATCCCCATCGCTCTATCGTCATTCTTGTAGGACTTATAAAGCTACCTTCAAATACTGATCGCGTTGTAGGTCTTAATGATGGCAATCTCCTCCAGCTCTAATATCTACTGACGTGGTTGCTGCTCAGTGCTTATGAAATTTGACTTTTTTAAAAGTCACACAAAGATTGTTACAAGGGAGTACCAAATACATATTCGCCATACAACAATAATGAACAAAAATTAATGTATGAGTGTTAAATAGTCAGTCAGTCAGCTACAACGTAGGACCAGGCACATATGTGCATCGGTCCAGGTCGCCATACCGCATCAGCACAAGATGAACAGCGGATTCATAGGAGTGGTTAGGTCAGAGGTGGTAATATATAGGAGAAAGATTGCAATAAGGATATAGTATAGGAAGAAAGAATTAGTTCGTAGAAAGAAAGATATGAAGTGATTTTAATCTCTTAGTTTAAGGGAAGACAGGGAGTGTATACACCGACGCCATTGTGATCGATTCTGAGCCATGTCACCAAGAGTCTCCAACCATTGGTTACGAAAGTCACGCGGACCCCAACCAAGTAGTCTGCATCTACCAACATGGCTCAGACTAGAAGTTAGTGACTTCAGGCACTGATGCCACTTTTTGGTTTGGCCGCCCCTAACTTTCTTCCAACCATCTCTAACACCGGTTAGCATTGCACGTCGTGGTAATCGGTGTTCAGGCATACGTAACACGGGGCCCAACCATCTCAGTCGATGAAGATTCATAACCTCATCAACTGATTTACCATCATTCCCTAATACCCTGCGTCTAACCTCACTATTACTTACCCGGTGATCCCAGCAGTTGTCAGCAATATTTCTAAGGCATCTGTGGTCAAATACTAGTAGCTTACGGGTGTCTTCTACTTTTAATGGCCATGTTTCGCTGCCGTGAATTAAAACAGAACGAACTGCCGCGCAGTATACTCGTCCTTTTATTGATAGACGGATATCTCGCCTCCGCCAAAGGTGACGTAAGTTGGCAAAAGCCAAACGAGCTTTTCGAATCCGTGCTGAGACAACGCTGACCAAACACAAAGAGTCGTCTAACATCCTCAACTCGGAGAGGGCAGGTTTCACAAGCATAGAGTAAAACCGTTCTTACCGACGCGTTGCAGATCCAACCATTTACGGTCAGACGACTAATACCACGAAAGCGCCAAAGATGGCCCAGGTTGGGATAAGTTGCTCTGACTTTTACTATACATGAATTCATCTTATCATTCACACCACAACCGGCACTTACGTAGCTACCCAGATACACGCACTTCTAGACTTCCTTCGTCTTCCTCACGACCCAGAGAGAATGCAGGTTTAGCGTCCTGATAGTCTTGTAAAAGTACTTTGAGCCTAGAAGGTGCAGAGCACATGCCAGACGTACGGATATTGGTTGCCAACTAATTGAGTGTGGATTGTATGACTTGAGTATCATCGCGCAGTAAGACAACATCATCCGCATGCTAAGGGTTGAAAAGTCTTTCTCCAGGTTACAGATCAAAACCACCGTTACCTACGTGTATCAGAGCTGTCTCTAAAACTTTATCAATGGCTAAGTTGGAGAGGAATGTTTTGACTGGGCAACCCTGCCCAACCTCACTGCTTGGATGGAACAATTGATAGAGGTGGTGGTATGCCCTCACTCTGCCTGAGGTGTTTGTATATGGGGCCTTCAATATGTTAATAAACTTGCCAGGCAGATTCTCCTTTAACAGACAATTCCAGAAACGTGTCCTGTCTGACTGACCGACGGTGGGCCTGATGTCACGACGCGTTGCGCTGCAATAGGCATGACGGCGTCCTAAAGTTTGGCGGAAGGTGGAAATATATATGATCAATACATCCTCAACCAAAATGAAAACCAACTCGCCCCTAGCGAATCAGTCTTTCCCGTGTTTTGAACAATCTGCGAAGTATGAAGTGAGCCAATAATTTGGAAGCAATCGGAAGTAGACTTATCCCTCGATAGTTGTTGCATAGGTGACGTGAACTCTTTTTGAAGATAGGGATAACAATCGACTCGTTTCACTATGTTGAAACACTTTAATTCCCGGACACAGATGGTTTCATTTGCACCAGACTTCTTATTGCCAGTGAATCGGATGAGCTGGAAGAGCTTCCGGCGTTTACCAGAAGATGCTTATGTTCCCAACTCAGCTCACTCCGACTACCGGGCTTCTGGATCATTGCGCAGACTTTGCACAATTTTATTATGTAACAATCCTCATTTGTCGTCGAACTGGCGGTTGTTCGGAGTAGATCGACGTGCTTCAACGAGTTGTAAGGAGTCCGTAGAAACCCAACACTTATGAGCGGGACGTTTTGCGAAGCCGCACTTTCCGTACACGATTGTGTTGGTGATTGGCTATTTCTTATCTAATCAGCACCAGCCAATACTTGGAGAAGACTCTAGAATATTGTCATGTAAAAACCATAAATATACAAACGTATCTCTTATTGTGCTTCTTACTGCCATCGTTACTTAGAGTATAATTTCGTTCCTGTTCAACTGTGTGCTGATTTGGAGACTTATCGAGTGGATTAGCGTCCAAGAATACTAAGCAATAGTAATAGCTGGGTCGTAATAAGAGAAATTATAACAGTAGATTAATAGCTAGCCTTGAAACAGGTTGTAGTCTGCACCAAGTTGCAGTAGACGATTACCGTTACCTGGCCTGCGACTAACATCGGCCACCCAAACGAATTTTCTGTGTACCTAGACCCTCGACCTGTGTATTCAAATATACGGCTAGTACTACAATACTTGTCGAACGCACGTTTTGTAGAACTATTAACTGGTGGTCAAACTCATCCTTGATCGCATCCGGGATGCAGCTTGTCGATGCGTTGGCGATGAAGAAAAGACATAGTTTCTTACACCGAATACTCATTTTGATGGAGCCTTCTAATCTAACAGCACATGACTGACTGTTGATGCAAATCCGATCGGTCAGTGCTGTCTCAGCTCTGGCGTTTAGTGAGACAAGAACTAGACGAAGATGCTATACGGTCCCCGTGTAAACGAAAATGGACAAGCTTTCCGAAGCAACAGATGGAGAGCAACTTTGTAGTACTTCACAGAAGTCCTGAATACGGGTCTCGGATAGACAACAAATACCGATGTTAAGACTTTCTTAAGATATAGCGAACCTTGTCTGTTTTCCGATCAGCATTGGTGTGCGAGCGTTGGAGGCATATTTGAATGCTGAGACTAGAAGTACTTGTACCTTCCTACATTTGTTTTCCTTTAAATATATTATCATACGGCTTGGTAATTTTATCGTGAACATATTAAGTTTTTACACGGTTTATTCCTCCAGCCATACATTTGACTTTTCACATCCTTTAGACTCAGAAAAACTGGTTCAAATTTTTCCATGGGAAAATGATCAAATTGAATGCTCAACAAAGAGCAGAATTTCCTGGTATGTTTTACTAGCTTTTACAAATCCATGGTTGACATTTAGCACTTATTAAGTCTGCTGCATGTCTATTTAATACTCAATTTAGCCTTAGCATAGATCCAGCGCTAAAATAAGCTTGAAGTTGTTGGTAAATCGTATTACTAATTTCTTATAGTCACGTTAAAAGTATTCACACTTTTTGAGATTATTCCTCTCTACTGTGATAAATCTGCACCCAACGCCAAACATTCATACGGTTTATGTCCCTGTTTCAAACTTCTGCAAACAGTTTACATTACAGTTGTATTTAATTAAGTTGGCTATGTAATTGAGGAAGCTTATAACTCAATAAATAGCTCCTTGAAAAACGTTTGTATGATTATTTACAACACTAAGTTTTGGAGCTACATTCCATAAAATTTGTAATTTTGGAAGCAGCAATTCTAATTTTTTTTGTTTCTGCGTATTTATGTTTTTAAAAAAAAAACCAATAGTAGTGTCTAGAGCTTTCGTGGTTGAGTTCAAAATGGATGAAATATCACCTGAATTTAAGACTTGTCTTTCTCAACTCTATCCACTTATTTCTGTTTAACTTTTGATTTTCATGTTCAGGTTGATGCCTTTTTATCTAAAAGCATCTTAACATTATTTAACGGTTAATATTTTCTTATGTAAGTACGAGGTTACATTGTGTAATAATTTCATTTCTTTTTATATTTTAATTTTACTAGAATTCAATACTTTAGAGTGTATTCGTCCTAATTTCAAGTCCTACTTTCAATCCTCAAGTTTAGATATTTCCCACCAATCTTCTATGACTGTGTGGTCTTTGTATTGGAATGTACTTGCATACACTACTCCCATACACAGTTTGTATGCAGACCATACAAATCAGTCTAAGGTACTTCATTCACTTTTATTTTTGCTAACATGCCACTGGTCGATTATTTTAGTTATTTCAAGCTCTTTTAGAAAATCATGTACTGTTTCCCGCAGTATTGTGTATTCCTCTCTTTTGACTTACATAAGAAAAACGTTGCGTTGTGTTAGTGAATCATACATCTTAAACTAATTTTACAAGCAAACATCTTCCTCAAGTTAACGCTATTTCTTTCCTCTAAATTTCTAGATTCAATTACTCCTGACTCAATGTTTAGAGGTTATAATATAGAAGCTCGGTCACGACGAAATTTACACACAGCATATGCATTTATAATAAGATATTGTTACGTCAAGAGACTTAGTATTCAATTTATAATTTCAGAGCCCCCAAATGCCCTGGTGTGGCCGAGAGTGGTGTGGGCGCGGCCACGCATACACAGCCTCTGCCAGGGAAGTCCTACTCACTGCCTTCTCGTGACGGGGGTGTTGTTTACGAAAATGAGAGGACCAAAAGCGAATGTCCGGCGCTTTAATCGGATCCCAAACCAATGGTGTACATAGGCTCCAGTATCCTATGGGAACAAATGGCGTATGAATCAATCTTTTGTCACCGGCTACCATAGGAATGCATCTCCTCACGATGCTCCACTGCCTTGTGGGTCAGACTTTTAGGTCAAAGGCTCGGGGTGTGGTCCCCTAAGAAAACTACCTGTTTCGGTCTGGGCACCCGGGCAGTATCACAGCCCACAAACATGGTGTGGCGCATATGTATTTGGTGCCCTCTTGTACCAATATTTATGTGTTGAAATAAATAAATAATTTAGAATTTCGGAGCTCATATCTCTCCAAATTTTGTCAAGAAATGAAACTACGATATATAATTTACTTACGTTGAGGGTGTTGGACTGGGTGTCATATACAAGCTTGAAGTCTATTATTTACCATGTTTTTTTCGCATCATGTTCCGATATAAAGTTTCTCGGGGCATTATAAGTTCTACTATTCATATTGGTAGTGTGTGTACTTGTTTTTGTTGTTAAGGATTTCCTATGATGTTCAAAGAGCTTCATACTCACTATTTATTTGTGATTGAAATATTTTGTTTTAATCCAACTAAATAACGATCATTCTAATACCTTTCCCTTTTTATGCCAAGGTTGGGTTGGGGTCATTACAGAAGTATTCCGTTGTGGTCTGGTTGATTCGCCAACAGTTCTTAGGAGTACGTTCAGACATTATATTTTTAAAATTTTACTTCGAAATGTAATTCAATGTGACATTTCAACTAAATATTTTACTTTCATATGTGATAAATGGTTGGAAACGTAGTTAAGCTGATTACATTGCGTGCATTAATTCATTCAGAAGTCTAACAATGGTTAGTGTAAACAGGAAGTTGCACAGTTAATTGAAAAGTTTCTCCGAAATTGTAATGATATTGTACGAGTAAGGCGGAATGCAACACCTATACCAATAAAGTCTGATCCTTAATGGAAAGGTCTTGTATAAAAAGGAGTTTTTTGCTGATGATAATGAAAATACTATGTAATTTCAATTAAGAAACTGATGAGAAAATAATTTAGTAGTAGTTAAACCCGAAATACATGAAATAAGAATTTAAACTCACTTAATTAAAATCAAAGCCTTCCCCGAAGTAATAAATTCTAACCGAGATACGAGTTGCTCAATTGTAGAGGACTACTGAATATTCAAGAAGATGAGAATCGAATTATATTTATTTTTGATTGCGAAATTTGGTTATTAAAGGTTAGAAACCGGACTGCTAGGACTCTTGTATCTTAAGGTTAATATTTAGTTCAAATAGATTTTTCTGTTTACTTTCTTGTGATTGAGTTCAGCGTTATTCAGCTTAATTATCCAGTCAAAATCACTTCGTTTCTCTCAGCACGTCATACATTTGTTGATTATAGTTTGGTTAGGGACTTGCATTTGGATCCAAAATGCGTGTTTAGTTCTTCTTGTGCCTCTGCAGTTTGCTATACTTACTTCCCACTTTTGATATTCCTACTAGAAATCTGACAGTACCCCCGACTTTAGATTCTAAAGGACTTCTTTGCTTTCATTCTAGCTGTCATAGAAATTTCCGGGTTGCTTTTATAGATATGATTGTGGATGGATCATTTTTTCTATAAGAGAAAACAAATTTCTCTTTATTTGAGCTGTATTAATGCGTAAAACGGTAGCTTACTGGTTAGTGCTTGACCATTAACCACTGGGTTTCTACTGCTCACCTCATCCCCCCTCTGATTAGGGAACAGGAGATTTTGACTAGTCCATAAGCATATATTTCGAGATTGGCGTCACGAAGAAACTTGATTTAATCGAAACCGATTTTATTATCACTTCTAAATAATTACATCTTCATTACATCATAAAGGATCCTGCTCATTGTTCATAATACCAGAGAAATCATGGATATACAGTATAACGAACTTAAAACTGATTTTTCTGTTTATTTTATAGGAGGCTACTCCTAATAATAGCGAAGTTCACGTTTGCCTTACAAGTTTACTTCGTTTATCTGAAAAATGTGGGATAAATTTAGAAGTAGTGAGGTCTTTATGGTTGTATTTCAAAAGTTGGCTAGTAAGTTTATTTTTACGACTTTCACGGTTACTTTCTGTCAAGTTTATGTGATAAGTCTGAATGTTAAAACGCATATTTTTTTGTATTATTTTAAACTGAACATATATAACTTACTGTGTATCTCCTTATTTCACAAAATTTTTATTTAGAGCACTGGATTTGATACTTCAAACAGATCTTCAGGTTTACTTACACCTAGTATGAGGTAAGCATGTGAATTCGCTTCATAGCAAACTCCAGAGTCTTCATATTTATGTCACCATCGTTAATACACTTTTTTCATTACTACTAATTAAATCAAATTGAATTTGGTTTTAGATCGAAAGTTCCCCATATAATGACTTCTCTGTACTCGACGCCCGATTTCTGTCAAATTATTCGTTCAAATATTGATGAACATTCGTATAAATGATCCTCAGTGTCACGATTTGTTCGATATGTGATCAGTATTAACAAAATCCTGCTTGTTGGGTGTCTTGGATTTTTCATTCGTTTCAGCAAAACTGTTGAAAACTATGTCTTGTACTGACAGTAGTGTGACGCTTCTGTAGTTCCTACACTAAAATCTATTTTTGGTTAATATCTTGACGGCCTCCAAATGTCCTGGTACGGCCGAGAGTGGGGAGAGTCCACTCTCCCTCTCGAAATACTCTCACATGGCCACGCGTATATAGCCTCTGCCAGGGAAGTCCTACTCACTGCCTTCTCGTGGCGGGAGTGTTGTTTACGAAATTGAGAAGAAGAAAAGCGAATGTCCGGCGCTTTAACCGGGTTGGTGGACATAGAGAGTTTTGTCGGGGTGTTGAAAAACCCTGGTTCCAAACCAATGGTGCACATGGGCTCCAGTATCCTGAGGGAAAAAGGGCGTATGAACCAATCTTTGGTCACCGGCTTCCATGGGAATACATCTCCTTACGTTGCTCCACTACCTTGTGGACCATACCTTCAGGTCGAAGGCTCTGTGTGTGGCCCCCAAAGAAAAACACCTGCTTCGGTTTTGGCACCCGGGTAGTATCCCAACCCTTACACATATCAAATAAGATCTGTGTGGCGCATATATATTTGGTGCCTCCTTGTGCCAATATCTGTATTAAAATAAATAATAAATAATATGTTGACGAGGTATCCCTGTTTTCCATTCAAATAATACTTGTTATTTCTCTCAAATTTTTCTTGGCTATAATGTGTAACACCTTTGCAATTATCTCTATATCTGAATTTAGTGGTTTAGCTTATATGCTACTAAGTCCTGATGCTTTCCCATTTTTCCAGATTGGTCATTAAACGGTTAACTAGAAGCTAGACCCAATGATTATTCCATTAGTACACCATTAGTTTTTGTTGTTGACCTTATTTTGTAATTTAAACTGGACAATAAAGATACATTGTAAAAGTAATTCCTTCAAGCAATCTTTAGGAACATCAACACGGAGTCCTTTGTTTTCAATTTACTCACATTAGAACCAAACTACTTTAGTATGAAACACATTTGTAAAGACTGAAGGAGCATCTTAAAGTATCACTCAATTTCCGGTTACATTGAGATCGACTGAACTAATAAATAGCAAATGAATATAAAGTATTGTACTTATTGAAATGAATTCCGACTGGCTGTAGAATTTCGGCTAACCACTTAACTGTACGATCTTCTATTTCATGAAAGTTTCGCTTACGTTTCAATTGGATACTAAGCAAGTGTGCTGTGATCTTTCATGGAACAGTTTGCTTAATAAAAAGCCTAGATATATTACTCATCAATGATAAGTTAAACAGGGCTAGCGACTTCTTTTGAAAACATTTTACCAATGAAATACGTGTTTACACATTCCGATACCCACTGATTCAAATATGATAGATTAACTAATCTAATTTATTTTAAAAAATAAATAACAGCATATTATGTTGACACTTTGTATATATTTGTGATAAATTAACTTAGTGTTTAGTTGTTGCTTTTTATTTCTTCTTAACATGAAGTTTCAGATGTTGGTACAATAAGGTAAAACCAGCGGGTGAGGCCAGACAGTAAGTTGATTTTTGATTATAGCTGTGAATGTTGTTTTAATACCTAAAATGGAATTTTGATACTGCACTTCATTTCTAGATTTTGAAATCCTTTCCAGTTTATTTCCACTAGATCTATTAGAATATTATGAGGATGCAGTGAAAGCCTAACAACTAGGTAAAACTATTGAGTAAAGTCTATCATTTTCATCACAAGTCTTTAGTGGGGTTATGCTGAAGTGTATTTTTCGGTCAAGATTGAGAATTTTCAGGCGATTAATTCTTAAAGAGAACAAGAACAAAGATTGGTGCAGAATAATATGAATTCATTTTATTTCGTTAGGTTCTCATCAGCTGCTTACAACCTAAATTATTTGAAATTCAACATTATTACAGATATTGACATATTTATACATAAGAGTGTGATTAAGGATCAATACATGTGTATGATGATCTAGCAAGCAAAGATTCAGATAGAGTTAATGAGTTCATAAAATGTTTGATTCGAATAAATAAATAAAGTTTGAGAGAGAAAATTCCAGAACATTGAAATAGTGATTAGAACTCATGAAAATAGATTAATGGTAATAAAGAAAATATGAATTGAAATCAATCAGTTATGTATGATGTAATTTAAAAGAGTTGGAGTAATGACGCAATAAATAACTAGAGAAATAAATGAATAAAAGGGGTTATTGTTACCAGGGTAAAGAAAGATTTATTACTGTCTCTTTTTGTATACATAGATCTGGTTTTAAACGTTTGATTGCTATTGCTTCAGCAAATTTCAAAAGGTTGGAGTTTGATTGTTTGTTAATCACCTTGAAGGACTTCAGTATATCAACTTCATGTCCTGTATCAAGGAGATGTCTTGCGATAGCACTGTTGAATGCGTTCAATCCATTTAACCTTAAACTTTTCGGAATATGTTCTTTGAATGTTAAAAAATGTTTAAAGAATAACGCATAACCACCGAAATTTATTGAGAAATATGGCAAACGTGAAGATAAAAAACCCAAAGAAATTACAGCAAATAAAAAGCCTATTTTTATTCAACTTCAATTCAAAGGTGACGATGTCACAGGATCAATCAATATGAGACTAAAAACTGCACTGACAAGAACTTATCCTGCAGCGAAATTGATTGTCCTGTCCAAAACAACATGTTCTTTGACACAATCAAAGTTCAACAGGTATCCCTTTCATGTTACCACCAACTGTGTATACAAATTTACATGTATCTGCCAAAGCAGTTACATTGGTAGAACAGAAAGGAGAGCCTACGTCCGATTCAAAGAACATATTCCGAAGAGTTTAAGGTTAAATGGATTGAACGCATTCAACAGTGCTATCGCAAGACATCTCCTTGATACAGGACATGAAGTTGATATACTGAAGTCCTTCAAGGTGATTAACAAACAATCAAACTCCAACCTTTTGAAATTTGCTGAAGCAATAGCAATCAAGCGTTTAAAACCAGATCTATGTATACAAAAAGAGACAGTAATAAATCTTTCTTTACCCTGGTAACAATAACCCCCACTCTTTCTAGTAATTTGCTCCTATTTATTTATTTATTACGTCATTATTGCAACTCTTTCTGAAATATAAATTACATCATACATAACTGATTGATTTCAATTCATATTTTCTTTATTACCATTAATCTATTTTCATGAGTTCTAATCACTATTTCAATGTTCTGGAATTTTCTCTCTCAAACTTTATTTATTTATTCGAATCAAACATTTTATGAACTCATTAACTCTATCTGAATCTTTGCTTGCTAGATCATCATACACATGTATTGATCCTTAATCACACTCTTATGTATAAATATGTCAATATCTGTAATAATGTTGAATTTCAAATAATTTAGGTTGTAAGCAGCTGATGAGAACCTAACGAAATAAAATGAATTCATATTATTCTGCACCAATCTTTGTTCTTGCTCTCTTTGAGATAATAAAGGGAAATATGTGTATGAAATTTCTCAAAATGCGATTAATTCTTGTTGATTTTATCATCTTTACGTTTATGAACTTAAGTGAGAGATATCAATTCAATTTTCTCTTAAGGTTTAAACTTCAGTGTATGTTTTCCTACATTTTCACTTAGAAATTTCGTTATGTTTTGTTCACTTCTCCGGAGATTATCGTCATCAGATACTGAGGAGCTGTGTACAACGTAAGTAGTGAATTTTCATGTTTAATGTCCAATACAAATGTAATCTATATAAGGAGTGTTCATTGGATTAGTGACCCCAACAAACCGTGACCTGTCGTTATTTCCCTTAGTATTGTAAACTTACTACTTGTATAACAAATAAAAATAGTGCTAATACCTTTAAAGTGGCCTTATTTAGCGGATATATGATGTGATATAAAAGTTACAAGGTCAAAACTATCCCGAAGACATCATTTAAGCTTCACACCTATTGATCATGCTTGTAAATTCTTGAAATAAATTTAAAATTTTAATATGTAGATATCTGCAATTTAAGTAAAAAAAAGGGAACATCTTGAATTATTTGGCTGAATACTTCCTGTTGTACCGAACAAATGGTGATGAATAAACTGGTCAATAATAGTAATACTACGAATATGCTCGCTTTCAAAATCCTGCTTAAGTGTTGTAAAATCAATTGGTATTTGTCATTCAGCCAAATGTATAATGTACACTTTAGTTGAATACAAATATTTAGTGATTTACCGTATCGCCCGTAACAGCACACAAGACCAAGTTGGTCACATTCAAATCCTTATTACACCTAACACCACTCTTATCTCCCCGAGTAACTCTTGTCACGTCCTTTTTTCATTCCGCACCGCTAGGGCAAACGACTCGAGTACGCGGAACGTTATTCATCGTCTCCTGAAACCACGCTCTAAACTACATGTAGGAGCTTTTAACGTCCGAACACTGTGCCAAATAGGACAACAGGCTTCCTTAGCTAGGACTTTCGGATCTTGCGCCGTCGATATGTGCTGCGTCGCCGAAATGCGCATACAGGATCCGAGTAGCGTTATTCATTTGAAATCACCATGTCTAAACAAAGAACCAACTCGATTCACACTTCGTGTATCTGGAAGCCCAGATGCGGCTTCTCGTGGACTCGCCGGCGTAGGTATAGCATTGAGTCCTAGGGCAGAACTAGATCTCTTAGAGTGGATCCCAGAAGACAGTCGTTTGTGCGCTGTCCGACTAAACGGAACAATAAGGACTCGGAAAAATAGGGACACTCGTCGTTGCCTCTTTGTCGTCTCTGTCTATTCTCCCACTGACTGCAGCGCCGATGAGTTTTACAGAAAACTCTCCGACCTTCTCCGAAGAGCTAGGCGCTCCGATGTAGTAATAGTGGCTGGTGACTTTAATGCTCAAGTAGGTGAACTGAGCGATAGGGAAAGACACCTAGGTGGATCTTATGGTGTCGTGGCTCAAAGAACAGATAATGGCGACCGTCTGTTGCAGCTATGCTCAGATAACCGCCTCTTTCTTGCAAATACTAACTTTAAGCATAAGGAAAAACATCTTTTGACATGGCGACCCCTAATTCGTCTCAACGTCGGACCCAAATAGATCACATCGCTATCAGTCACCGACGGAGGAGCTCGATAGAAGACTGTCGCTCATTCTGGAGCACATGCTTAGATTCAGCTCATGCTCTAGTGCGAGCGCGTATTTGCCTGCGTCTTACTGTACGTAAGAAAGACGCTGCACGGAAACCTCTTAGGGCCATACTTAATGATAGTCGAGCTAAGAGTATGTATCAGGAACAACTAGGAAAACAGTTAGGCAGCCTTGTATGTGATGCCTACCCCGAGGCAGAGTAGAATGATATCTGAAAAGCTGTGGAAACAGCAGTGATATCTGCTAGTACGGTAAACCGTAAGGTTAGGGAGTAACACTAGATCTCAGCAGCATCTACCGCACTGATAGATGCCCAAAAACTCATTCCATCTGGATCTGAACATAATGAAAAGCGGAGTCAGATTAAGCGTAAGCTGACAAGAAGCCTACGCAATGATCGCGAACAGTGGTGGGTAAAGAAAACGAGAGAGAAAGAAAAGGCAGCGGCAATAGGTAACATCAGACAACTGTTCAGACTTGTTAAGGAAATCGGTATTAGGAACCCGTATGTTAGCGAAACAAACTCAGAAAAAGCTAGACATATTATACATTCTCAATCCAGGAGACTGGATCGAGGGACAGAACACTAGGGATCAGTTCAACTGGCCTTCAGCCACACTTCGGTTTCCCACGATCTCCAGTCAACTTGAATGGCAAGTTAATTTAGGTCCGCCGACTCTTTATGAAGTAGAAAAAGCTATCGCAAATCTGAAGCGAGGGAGAGCAGCAGACCCTGACAGGTTTACTCCTGAGATTTTTAAGGATGGTGGTCCAGTATTAGCAGTGAGATTAACTGAGGTCTTAGGTAGAATTTGGGAACTGGACGCAATCCCATCTGGCTGGTCTCAATCACTGATTGTACCAGTCTATAAGAACGGATAAAAGTTCTTTTGTGACAATCACAGAGGAATCAGTTTGACTAATATAGTGTCTAAAATATTAGCTTCAATAATACTTTGACGCCTAACTAAAGCTCGTGAAGAGCAGACTAGAGAAAACCAGGCTAGTTTTCGACCTGGACGTGGTTGTATAGGCCAGATATTCACACTACGTCAGGTTCTAGAACATAGACACACGTTCAGACGCCCCACAATCGTAGTATTTCTCGACCTTAAAGCAGCATTCGACTCTGTTGATTATGAGGTTCTATGGCAGTGTTTGTCAGTGAAAGGAGTACCAAAGAAGTACATTAACCTTATGAAGGCTCTCTACTCGAACACAACTGGTCGAGTGAGAGCTTATGGAGAACTGTCATGCGATTTTGCAACTTCAAGTGGTGTCTGGCAAGCTGTTCACCATCTCCATTTCTGTTCGGTTTCATCGTAGGCCTACTGCTGGGAGTTCGGCAGGTCGTTCTGTTTTAATTTACGGCAGCGAAACATGGCCATCAAGAGTAGAAGACACTCGCAAGCTACTAGTATTTGACCACAGATGCCTTAGAAATATTGTTGGCGTCTGCTGGGATCACCGGGTAAGTAATAGTGAGGTTAGACGCAGGGTATTAGGGAATGATGGTAAATCAGTTGATGAGGTTGTGAATCTTCATCGACTGAGATGGCTGGGACATGTGTTACGTATGCCCAACGACCGACTGCCCCGACGTGCGATGTTCAGTGGTATAGGAGTAGGTTGGAAGAAAGCTAGGCGCGGCCAGACCAAAACATGGCACAAGTCCTTGAAGTCACTGACAAGTGGACTGAGCCATGTTGGTAGGTGTAGACTACCTGGTTGGGGACCGCGAGATGAAAGCAACCGATGGTTAGAGACCCTGAATGACATGGCTCAAAATCGTTTGCAATGGCGCAGGTGCATCCACTCTTTGTGTTCTCCCAAATTTTGATCTCCTGATTCCTCCTCGTCTCTTTTTTCTCCTCTTGAATTTATTTCACTGGATTATACTCTTTAAATAACATCTCCAAACCCTAATCTTTCTGATTACTGCTTATACTCTTACTACCTCTACCACTACGGGATTTGAATCGACAACTGCATCTCTGTGTTAAGGTGGTGTGGCAACTCGAACTGATGTACGTACGTACGAAGTTCTACGTTGTTACTGGCTGACTGACTGATTAACCGTATTTATGTTCATTATAGTTAAATATTTTTGGAAAAGAAAATAAATACTGCCAAATAATTTAATCGAAGTACTTGTATTCGACTTTGGTTTTCGGATGTTTAGTCGTTATATTTTTAAAGTTGTCAGTGATGATAACGACTAAATATTTCTTTTATCAAAGATACTAATCATCCAATTAGAAATTTTCGAAAATTCAATGAGTATATTTACCCTCTAATGTCTGGTTATGACATTTACTGTAAGAGTTGATTACCCACGGCTTCATTTTCCTAAAGTTCGATTTTTGAAATGGTTCACTTTATTGTAAATTGTAGGAACTTTCGCGCGCTATAGGTCATTAAGTTTGCCCTTTATTACACCGTAGATTTTAAAAATTACAGCATTTTTCATTCTTGAAAATTACAACTAGTACGATAGCTAGTAAATGAAAACCACTTTTCAGTAACTTCCCGACATTTTTCACTTTTTCGTACTCTTCTCGTCTTATTTTCCAAACAGCTTGAAAATCCCACTGTTGTCACTGACTAAGCCAAGTATTTCTTACTACTTTTTCATATGGGCTAATTTAATTGAAGAAGCTTTGGATACTTTATCAGTGAGCATAGGCAACATGGATTGTAATAAAATAAGTTTATTGTCCCTGGTAAGTTAGAAATATTTCCGTTAATATGGTAATATATATATATATATATATATTCATCGAGGAGGAGCATAGGCTGCCTACCAGCTCTCTCCATCCAAACCTGTCCTGAGCAATCCTTTCCAGCTGCTATTCACCCTTTTCATGTCTATTGTTAATTATCAGCTCAGTGTATTCTTTGACCTTCCTCTTCTCCGTTTCCCATCACAGTTCCAAGTTAGCGCTTTCCTCGTGATGCAGTTTAGTGATTTCCACAATGTATGCCCTACTCACTTCCAACATTATTTCCTAATTTCCTCTTCGACTGGAAGCTGGTGTGTCCTCTCCCACAGTAGCCTGTTGCTGACGGTGTCCGGCCAACAGACATTTAGTGTCTTTCGCAGAAAATTGTCTAGAAATACTTGTACCTTTTTGATGATGGTTGTGGTAGTCCTTCAAGTTGCAGCTCCGTACAGTAGGAGTGTCTTGATGTTCGTATTGAAAATTCTGACTTTGGTGTTTGCTGACAGTTTTTTTGAGTTTCATATGTTCTTGGACTGTAGGAACGCTGCTTTTGCTTTACCGATTCTCTTTACGTTTGCATCAGATCCTTCTTGTTTAATCGATGATGCTCCATAAGTACGTAAAACTTTTCATCTCTCCCAAAACTCCCTTAAGTTTTCTTCTAAATCTTCCCGAATAGAATCTGTGGTACCTTTTCAGTTACTTCTATATTTGACTTAAGTGCTTCAGCTATTATATTGTCAGGTCCTGCTGCTTTCCCACTCTTGATTTGTCTAACGGTCATACTGATGTATTCGATTTTCCGTGGGGCGACATCTATAGGACGGTCTGTGTGTGCTGTTCCAATGTACGGTGAGTTCAGTAGGGCTGATCCATTCAAGGATTCTTCAGTGTTCTGCCCACTTGTCCTGCTGTCGTTGTATCTCAGTGATTGACTTTCCTTTTCATATCTTTCTTTCTACGAACCAATTCTTTCTTCTTCTACTATATCTCTATATGCAATCTTTCTCTTATATATTACCACCTTTGACCTAACCACTGCTGTGAATCCGCTGTTCATCTTGTTGTGCTGATGCGGTATGGCAACCTGGACCGATGCACATATGTGCCTGGTCCTACCTTGTAGCTGACTGACTGACTTTCCTTGTTTGCTCCTGACTGGTTGCTCTGGTATTTAATTTTCCCTACTAGTTTCTTCGTCGTGTCACATAGTTGTCTCATTCCCTTCTGTTTCAGCTTTGAACGTAGTCGTTGCCAGATCTTCTACGTATGTCTACTTGTCGGCTCTAATGCTCATCTTTACCCGCTTGTTTACTGTGCATTCGGTCTGCCCTTGGCTTCCTCTACGCCAGTTCAAAAGTTGTCAATTGTGTGCCCTTGTTCTTCCTTTCTTGTATCCTGGCCTTGATTTCGATAGAGATTCATTCCTTATGATGAAGTTTCTCGAGGCCTAGCACCGCCTAACACGTTGAAGTGAGCGCTTTCTTGATCCCTTTCCAGTTGTTGACTAACTCTGAATCCAGCCAAATTAGTAAAATTGTTTGAACAACAGCTGAAGCTGATGGAGATGATTACTCAGGCGCACATATCTTCTCGAGTCTCAATTACACCGACAATCCCTCAATCAGTTGATGGTATTTCCAGTAGTTTTTCAGAATTTCTTTTGTGATCCTGACGCCAGTATTACATTTGATATTTAGTTCAGGCGTTATGAAGACCTTTTCAAAATTGACTTTCCTGACAGAGATGATTCGTGGAAGGTGCGTCTTTTCCTTCGAAAACCTGGTCCATCCGAGCTGGACAGGTATTCCAACTTCATTATACCGCAGAACCCACGCGACCGTTCCTTTGACGCCACTATTCAGTCTCTTAGCCAACTTTTTGGTGATTATCATTCACTTTTCAATACTCGATATCGCTGCTTAAAACTGGTCATGAATGAGTCCGATGACTTCTTGACCCACGTCGGCGTTGTTAACCGTGAGTGCGAACGATTCAAGCTCAGATCCCTCACTCAAGACCAATTCAAGTCCCTAGTACTCATATGCAGTCTTCAATCACCAAATTCTCCGAAATCAGAACTCGGTTGCTTAACCGCCTTGAACAAGACCCAACACTGACACTCAATGCGATCATAGACGAGTACCAATGCGTCACCAATCTTCAGCGTGACACCACTTTTGTTCAATCTGGGGGCCAGTGTGGTTCCGAAGTTCATGCTGCTCAGCACCAAAAAAGTCTTTGAAATCGACAACCTCGAGTCCTTCGAACGCCAGTGCTGTTTCTGTCTCTAATCACTCTAAACCGACTCAGAAGAAGCCCCCCTCGCCATGTTGGCACTATGGAGCCTGGCATTATGTGAAGTTTTGCCCATTCAAACAGCATATGTGCGATCGCTGTCAGAAAGTTGGTCACAAAAGCGGCTATTGCAAATCCAACCGATCCAATAACCATCGAAATGCATAGATGCAGCGTCGTTTTCCCAAAAAGCCAATTACCTTATCAAGGAGTTTAGCAGCAGTCTTCCACACTCATGCCGCGACTCGACGCAAATTCCTGACCCTCTCAATCAATGGTCAGCCAGTTCAGTTGCAGTTGGATACTGCATCAGATATCACTATTCTGTCGAAAAAGACTTGGCGAACCTTGGGTCAACCTCCCATCAAACTATCCTCCCAGACAGCTGTCAGTGCCTTTGGGGGTCATCTCCGCCTTCATGGTGAACTGTATTGCTACATTTCATTCAGAGGTACAACCTTCAATGGGACGTGATACGTCATCAATTCTCCGCTCATCCTTCTAGGTTTAGATTGGTTCGAAGAACTTAGTCTCGCTGATCTTCCCATTAGCGCTATCTGTAATCAAGTACAAACTACTGTCTCTACACAACAGCATGCCGCATACCTTCAAAAACGATTTATTGAACTCTTTCAGCCTGGTCTCGGACTTTGTTCCACGACGGAAGCTGTTTTAAGACTGCAGCCAGAAGCTACACCAGTTTTTCTCCCAAAACGTACAGTCCCATACGCATCTCTACCTCTGGTTGACGCTGAACTTCAGCGTTTGGAAACTGAGGGTGTTCTAGTACCTGTTTCTTATTCATCATTGGCTGCACTAATTGTGGTTGTAAAAAATCCAATGTTTCCATACGCATCTGCGCAGACTTTTCCACATGACTCAACGCGGCTCTACAACAGCATCACTATCCGCTGCCGATCCCAGATGACTTATTTACTATTTTAAATGGTGGTGCCTACTTCGTTAAGCTGGATCTGGCGGATGCTTACCTTCAAATTCTCGTCGCTCTCGAATCGAGAGAGTTGTTGACAATCAACTGTCACCGAGTACTTTTTCAGTATACATGGTTATCCTTTGGTATCAAAAGTGCTCCAGCAATCTTCCAGCAGATCATGGATACTATTCTGGCAGATGTTCCTGGTGTTGCTACATACCTTGACGATGTCCTCATTGTCGGCTCAACTGCTGATGAACTGCATACCAGAATCCACTTAGTTCTACAACGCCTCCAGGATAATGGTTTTTGCCTTCGCCCAGAAAAATGCCAGTTCTTCTTACGTTCCATTAAATACCTGGCGTTTATCTTTGATGCTTCCGGACGACACCCTGATCCTCAAAATACTTAGGCAATCCAAGAAATCCCTGCCCCCACTGATGTCTCCTCACTGCGATCATTTCTGGGAATGATTAGCTACTATTCAGCATTTCTTCCATCACTGCATGACGTACGATATCCGTCAAATCGTCTACTAGAAAAGAATGCTGCTTGGGATTGGTCAACGCAACTTGAGTCAGCCCTTTCAAAACTTAAAGCCATGCTAAGTTCCAATCTACTGCTAACCCAATACAATCCGAAACTACCCATTGTGGTTGCTGCTGACGCTTCAAAATATGGACTGGGTGCCGTGCTGTCGCATGTCTTCCCTGACGGTTCAGAGAAAGCGGTGATACACGCTTCGAGGACACTAGCACCTGCTGGGAAACTCTACGGCCAGATCGAGTAGGAAGCGTTAGCCCTGATTTCCGCTGTCCGGCGATTCCACAAATTCATTTACGGGCGCCGTTTCACCTTGTTCACAGACCACAAGCCGTGGTTATCAATATTTGGATCAAAGAAAGACATTCCTGCCCATTCTGCTAATTGTCTTCAACGTTGGGCGTTGGCGTTATTGGGGTGCAACTTCGACATCTAGTATCAACGTTCGGAAGATTTTGGTCAATCAGATGCACTGTCCAGACTTATCAGTAACCATTCTACCACTGATGAGGACACGCTCATAGCCATAATATCAACGGAAGAGGATTCCGGTGCTACACTATTAGCGAATGCCGTTCGAGCAATGCCTGTTACCGCTGAAGATGTTCGGAAAGCTGCTAGAGAAAACCTAATTATACAAGAAGCGATCACCTATGTTCAGAGCAGATGGCCAGTTAAGCAACTGAGTGGTGATATACAACAACTAGCGAATCGTCTCAGCGCCCTCTGTGTTGTTTACGCTTTTCTGATGTTCGGTGATTGCGTAGTAATTCCAACAACCCTACGTTCTAAGGTCCTACGCCAATTTCACTCTGGACACCCAGGGACAAACCGTATGAAACTCATCGCTCGGAGCTATGCATATTGGCCGAACATGGACAAGCAGATTGTCGACTTCGTCAAAAGATGTTCACATTGTCAAAAGCTGCGAAAAAAACCCCTAAGTTGCCTCCAAAACCCTGGCCAAAGTCAGAAAAACCCTGATCGCGAGTGCATATTGACTTCATCGGACCCCTAGATGGTACCACATATCTGATACTGGTTAACTCCTACTCCAAATGGCCGGAGATATTGCCAATTGTGCCACACTCTACAACTCGAACCATCAAACTCCTTAATCAGATTTTCGCTCAGCATGGTCTTCCAGAAACAATAGTAACAGACAATGGTTCACAGTTCACATCTATCCATTTACGAGAGTTTCGCCTGCAAACCTCGATCAACCATGTCCATTCTCCGCCATATCACCCGCAATCTAATGGACAGGCTGAATGGTTCGTTGATACATTTAAACGAGCCATGCTTAAAGCACGATGGGAGAGAACCACAGAAGATATCATAGAACGATTCCTAGTTGTGTACCGGACGACCCCGCATGACTTACTGTCAAAATTCAAATCCCCTGCTGAGATGCTTATGGAGCGAAATCTACGGACAGCCCATGGTGCGATGACACCCAAGCAAGTGGCCCAGAAAAGACCTCAGATGAAGAATACTCGAATTCCCTACGAATTTGGTTCAAAAGTGTATGCGCGGGATTATAGACATGAATGTGATAGATGGGTAGATGGTAAAATCACAAAGAAACATGGGGATGTCATGTATGATGTCAAAGTGAACCAAGAAATCTGGACCAGGCACCACAATCAACTAAGGCCAAGGGAAACTAATGAGAAAAAAGCAATTACAAAACGCATCCCACTCGACTTGCTGTTGGACACTTTTCAACTTCCGACAGATACAACTAATTCATCTACTCAAGTAGAACATCCTTCTGGTTCTGGGTGGATGCCTCAGAGGTCGGATCGCAAACGAAGACACCCAAAGAATTTTCACGTAAACCCTCGGTTACGTCGCTATTATCCTGTTAAGTCTAATACTATCCTTAAACGTGAAATTGTGTCATTTTCCTATTGGTCAATATTTATTTCACATGTCGTTTCCCTGCTGGTCAATATTTATTTCACATGTCGTTTCCCTGCTGGTCAATGTTTATTTCACGTGTCATTTTCCTGTTGGACAATATTTATGGTAGTCCTAACTGTTTAAATATGCATTTGTCTGTAAATTCTTCTCCTGACCCTATAAACGCTTTTCATCTACAGTTCGTGTTCTGATATATTGGAGTTTGGGAACAGTATTGGGGTCGTACTGGAATATCTGAAGTTGGTCAGTCGGTAGAAATTAGAGTAGCCACCCGCGGTCCACAATAGGTTGTCAGAAAGAGCATCGGCACTGTGAATTCCGAATAATCTTGACTTTCACTTTGAGGGGTCGTAATTCTTCTAAATGGAGATTCTTTAACTCCCATGATAGTCTGAAGTTTCTTCTGGTTTGAGTGTTGTTTGGCAATGTCGTTTTGTACGAGATGGAGTTGATAACCCTATGCACGACCCTTCTCCGTTACTCGGGTTTGGGAGTGACACCAACCGCACAAGAGCTACAAACGGATTTCACCCGATATTCGCAACCTGTCACCCATGCAAGTACCGATCGGGCTCAACATTGCTTATCTCCGGCAATCGGTCGATAACAGGTGTTTTCGATATTTGTACAGGTGTATGTTTCTTTTGCTTTCAAGTAGAATATGTGTTAGAGAATGGAACTTTAATGCTGTAATGTTACTATTTAACCATAATATTGTTTTCCATTTCCATAGGTATAATTTTATCTCAGTTAATGTTTTGCAGGTGCTGACAAAACTATCACCAACTGGATAATTGGTTAGACATCATCAGAAAGTTCGAAGCTTTTTAAAAATTAATAAATGTTTTTGTAAAGTTTATTACTTTAGTAATTTGGATTACTTTGTTAACTGGTAAAGAAATAACATTACTCTTTTGAAGAACGAAGTTCTAATTAAGTGAAGTAGTATTTATAAGAAATACATTACCGTTATTTCTTTTCTAGAGTCTTCCCTCATTAGAAATGACCAGAATTATGTTATTAACAAGCATGTAACGTCAACAAATTATAATTGGGAATTCTGCCAATGATGCAAAATATCGATTTTAAACTGTCACAAAATGATTTAGAATAATGAGCAACACAATTAATGCGTCAATATTCGCTTTCCACTTAAATTAAATTTCACATTATATTTCATGTTAACGTCGTAGGTTGAGAACATTGTTGAGATATCTTCCTCATTATCGGAATCGAATAATGTCGCCCAAAAATCACTACATAATTGGGACCCGAATCGCGGTTGTATTCTTCTTCAATGTTTGCAGTATCTACTAGTTATGTTTGGAGAATATGGATGCTTGCATTCGGAATTAAATAGTTATTTGCTTTGTTTGTTACCAGTTGTTGAGAAAATCAATGGTGTCATTATTTCCTTACGCCGTAGTCTGTCTCTGTGAGTTGTGACGTTTTGTCCTTTACTTTTATGATGGACCTGAATTACTTAAAACCACTGTTGCTAGCACATAAACTCACTTGTCGCGTCTAAGTATCATTATTAACTTATTGAGTACACATGCTTCATCGTTGTATCTTCTAATCATAGGACGAATGATTCGTTCATTCTGGCTCAATGTTTGTGTTTTAGAAAAGTTAGTCAGTGTTATGCAATTCAGGACCTATTACAGTTTCGCACTGGTCCATATTACACTTGACAGTAATCAATTTTTTACTAGATGAATAGCCGAATTGATGCTAGCATCAATCACGGTTAAGAATAATAATCGTAGTGAACATGGTTTGTAAGAGAGTTAAATAAGCGAATAAAACAAAACTGATTATTCGGATGAAGGTAAAGAATAAATGGATCCGGACCGACTTGGATATGTGTCGCATAAGCTACTGTTAATTTTCTTCCGTATTTTCAACCTTGTGACATTTTATAGTAACTGGATTAATCGAAACATCAAGTCTGTTAAAATTGTTTATTCACATGAAATCGATACACGAGGAGTTTTGTTCCAAAAATCTTATTTAAAGATAGATAATCACTCATTCGTTAGTAAACTACAATTTTTCAAGTATTCCCATCAAATAAATATCCACTTGATTAACGACCGATGTGTGGGTATTATTCATGTTGTAAACCTTTTTTATTGTGCAGAGACTGGTTGTGGTAGAAGGAAGTTTTATCACCGCTATTATTCTTGAAGTTTGGAAATTATGTTACTATTAAAAATATCAATCGCTAAACTACATTTCATGTTGGTTTATTTTCAACTCCTTCACCCGGGTTTTTATTTCATACCCAGGTCTAACGAGCTTCTTTCTACGGAATCAGAATTCGCTTTAACACACCGTCCAGTAGCATTCAATCGATTGTCTACTTCGAGTCGTATTAGCGACTTCACATCTATCTCAATTCAGTTTCTTGTCGATCTTCTGCTTCCAAGTATTTCCACTCATGTTTCACTACCTTCAGGTCGTATTTTTTTAATCATACAGTGTTTAGGTCAGTTTCCTTGGTTTTGTGGAGAGTTATTGAATTACAGCTTTGGTCCTTGGATCAAAAGCGTATTTGATTGTTTGAATTTATATTTGAGTTATGCAGGTGTAATTTTTAATAGTTGGCCTCGTTGATATATATCGCACAATTGATCAAACTAAGATATTCTTTAATTCAGAATTACATAGAAGGCTACCTTCCGTTATGTAGATGCTGTTTATACTTTTAAGTGAACAAATGATCGAGCTGTATCGGTTAAAGAAATCTGATCCTGAGTGCTGAATTTGCTTAATTCATTAAAAATCATTCGTTATATCATGTGGTTTCGGAGTGAAACATAGCGCGAAATTACCGGTGTAAGAGACCATTATTCCACCTCACCTTATTTATAATATTTTGCTATGAAATCATCATTTTCAAAGCCGTATGAACATTTATGTGTGTCGGAATTTATAAGTGTATAAACAAATTTTTCATTCAATTATTTATAAGTGATGCTGGGCCTGGAAAAAATGTCCATTGGCTTTAATAGTAGTGATATCGAATTTAGTTCGAAAAGAGGTGGTAGAGATTCTGGAAATATAATGATACTGTACGTCTATCAGAATATTATATTGTATTGTAACTTGAAATATGATCACATTGGTTTAAATAAGTAGCTACGAACAGGAGATCGATGGAACAATTAGTGCATTAGAGTAAATGTGAATATCATGAACTTATGGTTTGAGATCAAAGAAATATTATTTGAAAGATAACCAAGAATTTCGGGCACAAACAATGTTTACAGTAATCATAAGATTTTTTGTAAAATTCAGAGCATCGTACAATAAACTGACCTTCCTGGGAAACGGAGACTCTGAGATCTAAATAGGAAAATATGAGGTAACTGCCTTCACATGGAAGATGAGTCCCCACAACTTCAGTCACTTTATATCAATTCATCTGCGTCTATTGAGCTTGTTTCATTCAGAAGCATCTACAGAGATGTCATTATATGTGAAAATTATATTTGGAATAATCTCAGCGACTGAAATTTGAATAATTCCAACTTTTCGTCCAGCTAACTTCTTCAGGGTAGTAATCTAAATCATCAAAGTAATATTTAGCTTTTAACAATCAAAACCATACTGTGTTAAACCAATCAAATTTGGATGTTGATTTTTTGTAAAATAGGATAAAGTGAGTCAGTTAACTGCAAATCATGTGGAAAATTCAACTACATGAGTGTGTATGTATGTATGTATTTGTGAGATTAATTATTGATATTCGGTGTTAATATGTTATATATGGAGTAATAAATAAATAAAAGTGCACGTTCAAGGTTGAAAAATGGTTTCTGAATCATCGACGTGCATATCAAATTTAAGAATCAAACAAATACATAATCGTATTTCTGAAACCTTATTGAACTCAGGACGCGCGTTTCGTCCTGTTTGGGACTCGTCAGCTGGATGTACCTGCATCTCAGAGTTGATGTTAACTCTGGGACTCGAACTCAACTCTGAGATGCAGGTACATCCAGCTGACGAGTCCCAAACATGACGAAACGCGCGTCCTGGATTCCACTGCTAGCCACTATCCATCTTTGCTTACAATGCTTGTAAATTAAGGCAATATCGAGGCATACGCACAGTATGCACATATGCCAATAAGAGACTGATCAATTTCAGTCCAAAAACATCAATGGGAAGATTCAAATAAAAAACAATATCAAGTGAATTAAACTTATTGAACTCAGTCCAAAATAACGATGCATATGAAATAAACAGGTTGAATAAAGAGAGGGTTCAAATTATTTGTCAAACGAAATTTGCCGGGTAGTCGCTAGTTGAATAACATCCTTTCGGTTCAGGCTGTTCTTGTTCGCCCATATATACAAAGCTTCTGCTGTCAATCTTTCTTTATGAGTGTTGAAACCTTTCAGAGTTATATTGGTCCCTTCAAAATTAATCTTGTGTCCTGTTTCTAACGCATGTAGCGCTATCGCAGACTCATTCTTAAGTTTCTTCAAATCAACCGAGGATTCGGGAACATTTTTCAAACATTGTTTGTTTTCCTCCAACCTTACATTCAATTGCCTGGATGTTTCTCTGACATAGGCTGCATTACAATCATGACAGTTGATCTCATACAAGATATTCTGTTGTTCTTCCTTTGGTAACCTGTTCTTAGCTTTCACTGATGTCGATCTTAAGGTGTTACTTGCCCTAAAATACACTCTTATGTCGTGTTTGTTTAGAATCCGCTTGATTTCTTCCGATGTTTCACTACAGTATGGGATGACTACGGTGTACTTCCAAACTTTTCGTATACATTCTAGTCTAGTTTTTCTTTCATTTTTAACAACCTTCTTTAAATACTCTTTTGGGTTGTTGTTATCCCTAAGAGTAGAAAATACTTTATTTAATTCAGTTCGTTGGTCTTCCTTGTCTGTGACAAGCTTAGTACTTCTGTTCATTAGATTTTTTACAACATTTGATTGTTTTGTTGAACGTAGACAATAATAATAAGTTGAAAATAAATTTTTACAGGAAATCAACATTCGGAGAGATACTTAGATTTTGATTAGGCCCATGCACAGTGCACGAAAATTAATTAGATTTTGACTACTACCCTGAAGAAGTCCAGACAAGTTAGCTGGACAAAACGTTGGAATTATTCAAATTTCAATCGCTGAGATAATTTCAAATATAATTTTCACATAATGACTTCTCTATACTAGGCGCCCAATTCCTGTCAAACTATTCCGTATAATCTTGATGAGTATTCGTACAAATCTACAGAGATGGCTCTGGCTATTCAGAAGCAACTAATTTGTTCATGTTTGAGATTTAGGTACCCTATTTTGTAGTGAATGCTTAAACGTCATTCTTCATACTGTCAAAGTAGAAAATTACACAATATATATACCTCTTCGGCATTGCTTAGTTTTAGCAATTTTGTAGTTGAAATCGTTGCCTAATGCAATCGGAATGTAAGATAACTATTTTTTTCATCGTAATTGGTTATGATGCTCATTCTAATTCGAATGATTTTATGATTTTTGGCACTTTTTATTTTCAGGCTCATCATATTTTGATTCGATTAGCTGGTCTTTTGATATTAAGTGGAACGAATGCATCTTGATATTACTTGAAGCTGTATGGTGAGTTTCAGGCAATTGTTTTAACATTTTCTCATTAATATAAAATATTTCATTGTTTGGTTATCGCTGGACACCTGTGTTCATTTTAGATCCTTCTTAAACATATCTATCTCGAACGGTTTGTTCATGGTAAATGCTATTATAATTATCCGTTAAAATTACATAAGAATTCGTCAACCAACGATTGCTAGCTTGGTCAGCCGTACAGAAGCTTTTCAACTTCGTAAATGGATATTTAAACTTGAGCTTGGCCATCCGGAGACGTATCAGAACTCTAGTCGTATTGTTCTGTAATTCCCATTCGTGCTTCACTTCCTAATTAAGTGTTAAATAAACATATCTCGCTTTTGATGGAGTTTTTTCTCTGAGCTAGATGATTTGGTTGAGAAAAGAACTCCATTAAAATCATCTACCTGAGCTACAAATCTCCACCGTCTCAAAAACATATCTCTTCACATGTGTTATTGATCTCAATGCAGCAGTACGTAGTATTCATTCCCTGTTCTTTTCAAAGAGTTATGTCATCCCAATACTATTGTTTCAGAGCTCTGAATACTAACACCATTTTAGAAAATTAGGTATCATACATTTTTATTGAATACCTATTTGAGGGTGTTTGGTATTTTTCACATTTGCGTGTTTTCCATGAGTTTTTCCTAATGTTTTCACTGCCGAATTGTAGCAAATATGTGGTTGGTTTATGCTCATATTATGTGATCAAATATTTTTCGTCAGAAAGTTAAACTTTTATCTGTAAAACTGATTTTCTGAAACTAAGTTCACCTAGACTTTAAGAATTGGTCAGTCAGTTATCTACAACGTAGGACCAGACACATATATTCATTGGTCCAAGTTGTCATACCTTATTAGCACAGCAAGATGAACACCGAATTCATAGCAGTTACTTCAATTAAAAAATATTGCATATAAGGATATGATATAGGGAGAAAGAATTAGTTCGTAGAAAGAAAGATATGAAGTGATTTTCATCTCTTAGTTTAAGGGAAGACAGAAAGTGTATACACCTACACCATTGTGATCGATTCTGGGCCATGTCTCTCAGGGTCTCCAACCATTGATTACAATAGTCAGACGGACCCCAACCAAGTAGACTGCATCTACCAACATGGCTCAAACCGGAAGTTGATGACTTCAAGCACTGATGTCACGTTTCGGTTTGGTCGTCCCTAACTTTTTTCCAGTGTTATAACTTGTGAACGCTGATTAGAGAGCAGTGACCTATCGATCGGATCAATGACACGTAAAACCGTATGAGCAGCCTAGAGTTCTGATTGGTCCCGCTTCCCTGTCTAGCCCAGCCAGTTTAGTCCAGAACGCAAGTCTCAGCCTCTGAGATATGAATCGTTATATTTCAAACAAACTGTTTTATACCAATCAAGTAGACCACATCGTACCATAAAATAGAAAATAACATTTAACACGTGAAATAAATATTGATCAATAGGAAGATGATACCATGTCAAGTCCAAGAATAGCATTAAACTTAATAAAATAATTCTTGGGATATTTTCCTGAATATCCAAGCACCTTCTTTTTTGAAGATCCGGAATTGATATCCGGATTTTAAATTTTCCGAGTTCATCCTACCCCGTGAAATAATGTTGCGTTCTCATATACCCAAGTTACAATTAATTTGACTGTATTTAAAACATAGTGAACATAGATTCCGTTAAAATCGAACAGATAGTGAGCATAAACCCCATTTATTTCGAAGTCATCAAAGTTTGAATCTTCTGAAATATTGTCATCACTTTCATTTGTGAATAATAGATCACTAAGGTAATCAGCATCTATCATATTCGTATTAGGTTTCTGATCATCATTTCATGCATCTGACTTATTTTCTGATAAAAGAGAATCTCGATAATAAAATTCGTCAGAAACTTCTGTTGCTGAATGATGAGGACTATCCCCAACACAGGCCAGCATTGTGCGTCGCGGTAATCGGTGTTCAGGCATACGCAACACGTGGCCCAATCATCTCAGTCGATGAAAATTTACAATCACATCGACTGATTTACCATAATTCCCAAATACCCTGCGTCTAACCTCACTATTACTTATCTGACGATCTCAAAAGATGCGGGCAATATTTCTAAGGCATCTGTGGTCAAATACTAGAAGCTTACGAGTATCTTCTACTCTTAATGGCCATGTTTCACAGCCGTAAAGTAGAACAGAACGAACTGCCGCGCAGTATACTCGTCCATTAATTGATAGACGGCTATTTCGCCTTCACCATAGGTGATGTAGGTTGGCAAAAGCCAGACGAGCTTTTCAAATCCGTGCTAAGATTTATTTAGACACCAACCCACTACGGCTGACCAGACTTCCAAGATAAGTAAAATTGTTGACATCTCCGACCACTTCCTCCCCTATCCTTATTTCAGGTGTTGACACAGGCAAGTTCTAAAGCAACAACTTGCATTTAGAGGGAGAAGCGCATCCCAAACATCCTGGCATTGTTGCTCGGTGCTACCAAAACACTCTGCATTTTATCAGCGTGTTATGGCTTTAAATTGCGATCGATTTTTACCCTGTGCTAGTTGTTGTGTCCTTGACTGGAAAATTAGAGAGCAGCGTACTTATCGATCGACTACAGTGACAGTGACACGTAAACACGTACGGACGGCCTAGAGTCTCGATTGGTTTGCGCTTCCCTGTCTAGTCCAGTCAGTTGAGTCCAGAACACAAGCCACAACCTCTGAGATATGAATCACTATATTTCAAACATACTTTGTTTATATACCAATCAAGCATACCACATCGTACCATAAAATAGAAAACAACATTTTGTACAATATTCAACAAGTGAACAGATATCGACCAATAGGAAATGTCCATTTAAGGTCCAAGGACACCATTGGACTTAACATGATAATTATTGATCTATTCCTCCGCATCCACAACACAGCGTCTTCACCAAACAGGACTATGTCGTCTGCATATTCTAAGTCGATAGGTGGACCTCCTGGAAGAAGACCAATTCCTGAAAATTCAGATGACGAGAACGTTATTCCCAGCGGTAGGCCTACGTTAAAATTGAACAGGAATGGAGAAGTTGCAAAATCGCACTTCTGAGGTACACATTTCAATGACAGACACTGCCACAGAACCTCTCGGTCTCCAGAGTCAAATGCTGCTTTCAAGTCAAGAAAGACCACGATTGTCGGACGCCGATAAGTATGCCTGTGTTCTAGAACTTGACGAATGGTGAATATGTGGTCGATGCAGCCACGACCAGGTCTGAAGCCAGCTTGATTCTCTCGTGTGTGCAGTTCACGAATCTTAGTTAAGCGTCCGATGATTATTGAGGCTAGTATTTTAGGTGCTATATTAGTCAAACTAATCCCTCTATGGTTATTACAGGATGATTTTGATCCATTCTTATATATTGGGACAATTAGTGATCGTGACCAGTCAGGTGGGATTACGTCGAACTCCCAGATTTTAGCTAAAATATTAGTCAACCTAATCGCTAAAATTGGACCACTATACTTAAAGACCTCTGAAGCCAATCCATCTGCCCTTCCTCGTTTCAGAATAGCTATAGCCTCTTGAACTTCAGCCAGAGTTGGGGGACCTACTTCAATGTATTATTCACACTGTCTGGGAATGGTAGAGTAGCTGAACTGTTCTCTAAAATGTTCTGCCCATCGTTCTAAACGTCTGATCTGAGAACAGATAAGAGTGTCGACTTTTTTCGAAATACTCTGACCTACATTTGACTTATTAATTCCAGTTTCTTTTATTGGTCTGTAGAGCTGTGTTGTGTTACCTATAGCCACAGCCTTTTCCATCTCTTTCGCTTTCGTTGCACACTACTGCTCACGGTCGTTCCTTAGACTTTTGCTTAACCTAGATCTGATTTGTTTACGCTCTCCATGGTGTTCAGAACCTGATGGTATGAGTTTACGAGAACCCATCAGTTTAATAGACCTTGAAAAAATCCATTGGTTCTTTGTAACCTTGTGGCTTAAATTACTGGCAGATGTCACTACTGTTTCCACAGCTGCTTGTATATCTCTCCTAGCTGCATCTGGGTCAGCCTCATTTTCAGAACTATCTAAATGTGACCTTGTTTGTTCCTGGAACCTACTTTTGGTTTTCTCATTTCAGTTCTAGTGGGTCATTTTAATGTGACTTTCTTGCGTCCAGTGAGGTGCAAGCAGATGCGTGCTCGTATTAGGGTATGGTCGGAGTCCAAGCAGGTGCTCCAGAATGAGCGACAATCTTCTACCGACCCTCTCCAACGATGAATGATGGCAATATGGTGTATTGGAGTCCATCGATGGTTTGGTGTATGGGGTCGCCATGTTAGACGATGTATCTTCTTATGCTCAAAATAGTGCTCTCTCCGATGTCTCTACTTAAATTAGTGATTACTATAGATAAACGATTTTCTGAGGACAGTTGAGGAAGACGATCACCATTATCTGTTCGCTGAGCCGGAATACTAAAATACGCACCTTAATGCCTTTCTGTTTGGTTTAAACTACCGATCTGGGCATTCAAGTCACCTACTACGAGTACTATGTCTGAACGTTTAGCTTTCTGAAGAAGTTCAGAGAGCTTTCTATAAAATTCATCTTTCAGTTCATCCGAGCTACAGTCAGTGGGAATGTAGGCAGAAACGACAAAAAGGCAACGACGTGTGTCCCTATCCTTCCGAGTTCTTGCGGGGCCGTTTAGCCGAACAACACATGAACGACTGTTAACGGGGATCCACTCTAACAGTGCTTGTTCCGCTCTCATGCTTAGTGCTATGCCTACACCTGCTAGTCCACGAGAATCTGCCATCGGGTCGCCAGATAAACGAGGCGCGTATCTCGTTTGCTCCCCGTTCTGGCTAGGTGAGGTAAAGTGAATGATCACACTAGGATCCTGTATGCGTGTTTCAGAGATACAGTATACATCAATGGTACGAGGTTCTAGGGTTTTAGCCAAGGAGGCCTGCTGATCGATTTGACATAGGGTGAGTACTCAGAAGGCTCCAATGTGTAGTTTTGAGCGAGGTTTCAGTAGACCTGAGACAGTGTTTTGCGCACTAGAATCGTCGGCTATGGTGACACTTGAGGAGGAAGCTTAGGCTTGAAAGTCGATGTAGGAGGGATGATAGGAATTGAAGAGTGGGGTTGATTATGAATACAGTGGTCTTGAGTGCTGTTAAAGGTATGAGGGCGGTTATCACTTCCCGGTTGCCCACACCGTAGAAGGGTTCTTCTAGAGGTACTTGAGAAGGAAATTGAGCTAGAGTTGGTCTTAGTGAACTGAGAGCGTGACCGCAGTGCCGAAGGGACAACTTGTTGAGACCTAACAACCGGAGAATGAAATACGTGGGATAAGGTGAGTTGTGCAGTTTTAGGGTCAACCTTTTCTAACCTCACCCTATCATTGTGGAAAGGTAGCATCGTTGTTATGCTGGTTGTCTGAGAGAAACATTTTACTGCAGTCACACTTTTGCACAGTTAGTGGTACGACTTCACCCTCGGACCTTGGGTTTGCTGCTTTTAGTCGTACCGCTCTTCAACCGACCTGTCAGTCATTGTAGAACCTTGAGGAACGATTGTTCCAGTCAGTTTAGTCCAATTATTTCATCACGATAGGCGAGCCTAAATACTACGTTAAGGTGTCACCAACGGTCAGGAACAAATTTCGTAATGGGAGAAATGAGGTTTATTCACAATGGTGAGGATTTGATGTGGCAAAAACCTGACTATACTCCAATAGAAACCACTAAGCAAATTGCACTAGACAGTAAGATGACTACTCCTACCACTATGAGGCAGTTTATGAATGAGGAGCGATTGTTCCAGTCAGTTTAGTCCGATTATTTCATCGCGATATGCGAGCCTAACCACTATGTCAAGGTAGCACGAATGGTTGGAAACATCTAGAATAGTGACTGTTGTTTTAGTTCTAATTATTCTCTTCATTTTCCAGACTTCGACGTTTAATGCTCTGATAAAAACATCGTAAATTGTTCAAATTCATTGTGACCTCGTGTGAAAAGCATTATGAATTAATTTATTGATTTTGTTTTGTGTACTCAGCCATCAGCATTGCTTTAATCCTATTTCTTTTTTCTCATAGTTCGTTAGAATACTCTGAATCAAACTTAGAATTGTTTAGTAAGTCTTTTTTCTCCTTTTTGGTATTGTTTCATTGCAGTTACACGACTCTCCAAATGATGTAGACAGTTTTAATCCTAGTGTCGCTTTTTTCGTCATATATGTTACCAACTTTGAGTTTCTCAAATAATACAGGATGTTTATTTATATTTGAGATGTCTACATATAGTCTTATCAACCATTAGAACCCTTCAGACAAATTTTTTGCCGATCAATATTTACTTCTATTAAGGATAAGATTTTTGTTCTGTATTTTCTGTCAACTGGGTATTGAACTTTTAATTTCATCACCTTTTTTAAGAGCCATGCATATTGTTCTCTATGATAAATGTAAGTAAATATTTCATCTAATAATTTCCATGACTGATTGAGTCAGTGTTGTGACTTTAAACTTGGGTCGATTTTTAACCCGTGCCAATTGTCGTGTCCGTGACTGAAAAGATTAGAGAGCAGTGTATTATAGATCGAATCAGTGACACGTAAAACACGCACGAACGGCCTACAGTTCTGATTGGTCCTGCTACCCTGTCTAGCCCAGCCAGTTGAGTCCAGCACACAAGTCACAACCTCTGAGATATGAATCACTATATTTCAAACATACTTTGTTTATATACCAATCAAGCATACCACATCGTACCATAAAATAGTAAACAAAATTTTGTACAATATTTAACAGGTGAACAAATATCGACCAGTAGGAAATGTCCATTTAAAGTCCTAGGTCACCATTGGACTTAACATGATAATTATTGGTATATTCCTCTGCATCCCTAACAGTCAGTAAAACAGTCACTTTTTCATCAAACAGGAGAACTATGACTAGTACACCTTTAAATCACAATGAGATGCTAACAAAAGTTCTCATATGCAAATACTGTCTTTTGAAGAGTATCAACTATATAGATCGAACTAAAATCAAGTGTTTAAGTTATCCGAAATCATTTCGGCTTTTTAAATTATTACGTATTTATTGAAAGTTTTCAACTCGGTTTATATCTTCCTGTCTTCAAGACTTGTTTTATTCAAACGCAAACACTGGTATATATAAAAGAAAATAAATATGCGTCACGCAATAAGAAGTGAGATTGTGAAAAGGGAGACAAACGAATAAAAATAAGTGAACGGCAGTACTGTTTGATGGGAGAAGCCTTTCAGTTGAAAAAAATACAGCCATAAAGACCCTTCTGTTAAAGAAGTACCTCTGCATTTTATAACATGTGTGAAATAAAATTACATTTTATCGTCATTGGTTTCTGTTCTGAGTCATGTCTGATAGTCTCGAATTACTGAGTTGTATTATCTCTCAAACCCAAACTATGGAGTCGCCATTGATCTACAGATGCCAGTCATATACAGTTTTTTTTATAACCTGGTCCAGCTTCATATGCTGACCACTACTCCGCTTTTTTACAGCCAGTCCTATCGTCGGCATTTAATACACGATATGAGATTTGTCTGGGTGACACTCATAGACATGTTCAAGCCTCCGAATTCGGTATTTCAAAATGGTGATATTAATGAATTGTCGTCATTATGCCCGAACATACATTTCCGAACCTCCATATTACAAATGCGGTGTTGCCACTGAATTTCAGTAATCATTTGGAATCAAAAATATCCAAACACAGAGTCGCCTAGCATCCTCAACCCTTGTAGACCAGGTTTCACAAGCACTGAATAAAACTGCTCTCACTGATGTGTTGCAGACCCAACATTTGCAACCAGGTTAACATCACAACGGCACCCAAGATGACCCAGATTGGCATAAGCCACAGTGGCTTTCAGTCTATGTAAACTGATCTCAACATTTACTCCTCCACCTAGATACACGAATTCTCCAGCTACATCTATCATCTCACTCCTAAAAGTTAGCTCAGACATAGGCTCCTGTCTATCTTGTAGAAGTACTTTTCACTTAAAGGTGAGTTCAGAGTACATGTCATTCCCAACTGATTAAGTGCGATTTGTATAGCTTGAGTATCATTGTACAGTTTAGAAGTTAACTGGTCCACACTGTTACTATTTACTATCAGGAATGTTTCCAGAATGTCATCGATTGGTAATTGGAAGAGAAATGGTGAGATTGGGCAACCCTACATAAACTTACTGCTTGAATGGAACAATTGAGGGGAAGTTGGAGTTCCTTGCGGGCTTCCAACTCTTCAGGTAGTTGTATCAGTCGTCTCCGGCTGTGTAGGTTAAGTAACACTGGTCGATGTTGTTGCAGCAATAGGCCAGTCGATCTGCTCCTCCAAAAAATCTTCCCTTCGTATAATATGTCTAGGATGCTACTAATTTTGCGTTCGATCAACCTCACAGATTGTTTCATTCATGTCACATTTCTAAATACCAGTGACTCAGATGAGTTAAAATAGCTTTCAACAGCTATTTCCAACTTAATCGTATACTCTAACCATCACGTTTTTCGGCTGGTACGCGGATTTCGTAAAGTTTCTTTACGCAGGTATCTACGTTCATCATCAAACTTATAATTTGTCAGGTTAGGTAAACGTTGCTGCCCTGGTACGACCGAGAGTCCGCTCTCCCTCTCGAAATACTCTCACACGGCTGCGCGTATACAGCCTCTGCCAGGGAAGTTCTACTCATTGCCTTCTCGTGGCGGGGGTGTTGTTTACGAAAATGAGAGGACGAAAAGCGAATGTCCGGCGCTTTAACCGGATCACAAACCAATGGTGCACATGGGCTCCAGTATCCTGCGGGAACAAATGGCGTATGAACCAATCGTTGGTCATCGGCTACCATGGAATTGCATCTCCTTACGATGCTCCACTGCCTTATGGGTTAGACCTTTAGGTCAAGGGCTCTGGGAGTGGCCCCCTAAGATAACCACCTGCTTCGGTTTGGGCACCCAGGCACTATCACAGCCCACACACAAATGATGAACTCTCTATGTCCATGGAAACTACTTTTCTCGCTTCGAAAAACAATCAATTGATTCAAATTATTATCATTACAATTATTGTCATTATTAATATTATTATTATTATTATTATTATTATTATTATTATTATTATTATTATTATTATTATTATTATTATTATTTTCCACATTATTCACCCTCTTTTATACTTATACAGCGGCTCGTCTTTGGTGGAAATCCGACTGTATCTAAACGTTCTCGAGTCACTGTCCGGTTGAAAGTTGTATGTTACCATCGAATATGAGTACTGAAGCAGTTTTTCTGAAACCACGTGCGCCATTCAAACTGGCTGCCTTCAACGTTCGCACACTTATGCAGGTTGGTCAACAGATAGGGCTGGCTATGTCTTTGGAAAGTCTTAATATTGATGTTTGTTGTCTATCCGAGACCCGTATTCAAGACTCTGGTGAAGTACTACAAATGCGCTCTCCACCTGTCGCTTCGAAAAGCTTGTTTTACGTGCGCTTATCCGGGGACCCTGTGGCATCTTCGTCTGGTCTTGCAGGCGTTGGTGTCGCACTAAGCGCTAGAGCTGAGGCAGCACTAGTCGATTGGATCCCCATTAACAGTCGGTTATGTGCTGTTAGATTAGAAAGTTCCATCAAAGTGAGGGAAAATCGGCGTGAGAAACGATGTCTTTTCGTCATCTCCGCCTATGCTCCGACAGATTGCAGCCCGGATGCAATCAAGGATGAGTTTTACCACCAGTTATCTGTTCTTCTCCAGAAAGTGCGTTCGACAGATATTGTAGTACTAGCCGGAGACTTGAATGCTCAGGTCGGGCGTCTAGGCACAGAAGAGAGTCGTTTAGGTGGCCAATGGGGACTTGTTGATCGCAGGTCAGATAACGGGGACCGTCTACTGCAACTGTGCACAGACCAAAACCTGTTTCTGGCTAGCACTAACTTTCGGCACAGTCATCGCCGATGTGCCACCTGGCGTCCTCCCTCTGCATCCCAAGCCTGGACTCAGATTGATCACATCGCGATCAGCTACCGCTGGCGTGGTTGTGTAAAAGACTGCCGCTCCTTTTGGAGTACCTATCTGGACTCTGACCATGCCTTGGTCTGCGCCAATCTTGCCTTACTTTTCAGTGGCCAACGAAGTGATCACCACCAAAAGATTGATGTTAGCAAGCTGGTTGCAACTTCTGTTGCAAATAAGTATCGAACCGAGCTAGCCTCTAGGCTAGCTACCACTCCACCGAAAAGTATAGATGAGCATTGGTTGCAATTGCATGACGCCATGAAAATGGCGGGAACAGTCAGTTGTGGGTTCGTGAAACGTACCGCTTATAAGCACTGGGTTTCTGCAGGATCCTTGCAACTCATTGAAGCCCGTCGGTCTACTCCGGGTGACCGTGAGTTTGACCACAAACGAAGGATATTACGTAATGAAATCAGGTAAAGCTTGCGTAAGGACCGAGAAGCCTGGTGATCGGAGCATGCTAATGAGCTGGAAGCAGCAGCTGCATCTGGTAACTACCGGAAGCTCTTCCAACTCATCCGAGCCACTGGCAGCAAGAAGTCTGGTGTGAGCGAAACAATCTGCGAGAATGATTGGATGTCAATCACTAACATCCATCGACGTCTTGGACGATGGGCAGAATTTTTCGAAGGGCAGTTCAACTGGCCTGCTGCTCCGGCAACATCGGTCAGACTGTCCTGCCCTCCATGGCCGGTGACGACTGATCCACCAAACGAGGAGGAAGTCCGCAAGGAACTCCAACTCTTGAAGCGTTACAAATCACCTGGCCCAGATGACTTACCTCCGGCTCTTTTTAAAGATGGTGGTGACTTTTTGACTAAGGAATTGACGACGTTGTTTACAAAGGTTTGGGAACTAGAGAGTGTACCAACATCATGGAATGAGTCGCTAGTTGAAAAAGTTTCACGTCGTTCCTGTAACAACTATCGGGGGACTGCGTCCAAGCTATTGGCTTCCGTCATATTTCGTAGGTTGTTCAAAAGCCGAGACTGATTGACTGGTAAGGAGCAGGCTGGTTTTCGTTCTGGTCGAGGATGTATCGATCATATCTTTACCCTCCGCCAAATGTTAGAACACCGCCATACTTATCAAAGGCCAACAATCGTAGTGTTTCTTGCCCGGAGAAAGACTTCTCGACCTTGAGTATGCGGACGATATTGTCTTACTGTGCGATAATGCCCAAAGCATGCAATCCGCACTTAATCAGTTGGCAATCAGTGTCCGTAGGTATGGTATGTGCTTTGCACCTTTGAAATGCAAAGTACTCCTACAAGACTGGCAGGATTCCAATCCTGTACTCACTCTGGATGGTGAGCAGATAGAAGTAGTCGAGAAGTTCGTGTATCTGGGTAGCTGCATAAGTGCTGGTGAGGGTGTGAGTGATGAGATCGATGTACGTATAGTGAAAACCAGAGCGGCTTATGCCAATCTGGGCCATCTTTGGCGCCTTCGTGATGTTAGTCTGGCTGTAAAAGGTCGGATCTACAACGCGCTGGTGAGAGCAGTTTTGCTCTATGCCTGTGAAACCTGGCCTCTCCGAGTTGAGGACGTTAGATCATCGTTGTCTCCGAAGGATTGCTGACATCCAGTGGCTGCTCCATTTTAGTAATGCAGAGGTTCGGCATCGTGTGTTTGGGCACAGATACGATAATGCAATCGGTGTCACCATCTTGAAACACCGACTTCAAAGGCTTGGACATGTTCTATAAATGTCGTCCCAGAGAATTCCACGTCGTGCATTATTTGCCGACTCTGGTACTGGTTGGAAAAAGCGGAGAGGTGGTCAGTATATGACATGGTGTCTTGGCATGAAAGAAAGCTGCAAATGGCTGGCTTCTGTTGATCCTTCTTGATTCCCTGGTTGGGGTCCGAGAGATGGTGCTACACAGTGGCTAGAGATGTTATCAGATATGGTTCGGAATAGAAGCTTGTGGCGATCTTGCTGTAACCTTCTTTTACCTTCTTCATAAAAAGTGGTTGTGTCTCCCTTACCTTTAAGATTTCTTCTGATTGTACCTTTCCGTTCCCTCATTACTACCACACCACCGTACATCAATCTCTTCGTTATTGTTCTCTTTTTTTGCGCTCCTTATCTTTTTTTTCTATTTGTCTTCGAATTCTGATTGTTTTGTGTGGCGCATATATATTTGGCGCTCTCTTGTACCAACATTCGTGTGTTCAAATGAATAAATAAATAACAAACATGTAGATACTCGGTCCTTATAAGCGGGGCGTTACATGAAGTTACAAGAGACGTAACCCGCTTTTCTTCAAGACATCAAACAAACGCATCTATTGCTCATCTGCATATTTCGGAGAAATGGCAATTAGCATTAAACCTAACTCTGATTTATATTTGATTGTAACAGAAGTCACTGTCACCATGCTGATATTAATCCGTTCAGGATAAGACGTTTACTAGCCACCAAAATACATGATAAGCTTGTGCAGAACAAACCATGATCGAAGTCTAGACAGGCACTCCTAAAACAGCGTCTCCGGCGGAGATAACGAAAAAAACATCGTTTCCCATAACGATTACTCACTTTACTTAAGTTTTATAGTGTAAATGTGAGGACGGTCCACGGGTGAGCTCGAGGAAGCTGTAAGAAGCTCAGAAAGCCGAAGAAATTCCATCCAATCAAACCACTTAGTGAGTCGAGAACATTTAAACAGGACAAGACTTCGACCATACACGAGCTTCTGTAAGTTATAAAAAAATACACAAAATGGGAATCAAGAGGAACCAATAGCTGATGCAATATAAAACGTAAATGAATGTGGCAAAATAAGAAAGTCTGCGTGTGGCCTTAGGTACACTCCGGATACTCTCATCTAAGTAAGAGGTTTTTTTAGGGAGCTATTCTTCAAGCTTTCAATCGAAGGCCAAAAACCTAAAAGACAATAGAGCACTATCGAGAGATTCGGTCCCATTATAGTCAGTGACCGATATCGGTTCATACGCCACTCATTCCTTTGACGCTCAGGAGCCTTTTTTCATCATTTATTTAGGACCAGGGTTTTCCCAATCATCTAGGTAGATCCTCCATATCCACCAATCCAGTCAAAGTATGTGGCGTTCAGAAAGACCAATTCAAAATCGGAAAAAATGCGCCTCAGATACTAACTATTATTGCTGTGATAGAATTTAGGAAAAGTCTGTAAATTCAAATTGTAGATAAAAATATATTGGAACCAAGTAGCCGAACTTGACTACAGCTATCTCGTTTGAGTAGAGTGGTGGTCCAGTAGTTAAGGTGTTCTACTACCAGTCACTAATTCGTGCAGCGCTCCACCTATCACAGTTTAGAAAACCAGGTAATATTTCTTGCCGTCTTACTTAGAGTGTAACTCAAATTCTAGCACTAATATGTACCCAGTAAATGAGAATAAGTTCTGCGTTTGTTTAAACCCTCTTTTAAAAAGTCAGGGGCATTTTACTTTTTTAATAACTTGTTTAAATTTAGTATTCTGAAGTAGTTAATTTTTTGTCGGTCAGATGTATGCTTGTATGTAATAATTTCTTAGCTCCATTTACTAGAAACTATGCGACCAATGAAAAATGTGGTTATTCTACATTCATATGTTACCTCAACAGCCTATATTTTTCGACATAGAAATCTCAGATCTGTCCAAAATGTATTGTAACTATAATTAGATCAACACTGGTAAAAACCGTAGACATGTATGACTGTACTGTCCGAACAAAGGGCTTAATTGTTTATAAAGCATTCGATATACAAATACCACATTTCATCATTGGTTAAAACACATTCTGTAACTAGATTAGATGGTTTTTTTCTTTTCTTTCTTCAGGTTTCTTTTGGAGTTCCGTTTATACTGCGTTTAAAAAGGCTATTTCTAGACAGAATACCAAATGTGCTCCTATACCCGTGAATCTATTATCGATCCTATCCAAAATTGCACTATATTTTATTCGTTTATCCAATATCTGTTTTTCATACTGGAGCGAACAGTAAGAAACTATTTCTTACCTATTTTCGTCTGTATTTATGATTTTAACTTTCTACAGAAAAATTTGATGTTTTAATTTATTCTTTGTTAGCATTATTAAATTAGTGCTTCTAAAGTTAACTCTTAGTTCGACTTTCCTGATGAATTGCTGCCTAAAAACCATACCACTTATGTTTAGTGTTTTCGTTATTTTTCATTTCCCTCTGTTTCGCACTCTTGAAAAAATTTGAGTTATTAGTCATTACTATGCTCTACTTATCTGACAATAACTCAGTCTTTTTTACCTACATAACTACTGTTTGTATCCTGGATACGTCACAGGTAATAAGATTGTTTGCCTTGTCTACACTAATTGTGGTTTATTTGTTCTGTGTAAATAATATATAAAACTAATTATTACTCTGTCCGCACAAATGTAGTCTCATTGATTAGTGGATTTACTCTGATTTTCTGACATTTATAACTAACCAGGTCGAGATTGGTCATCGGCCGTACGATATTTTACAAAAAGATACTTTTATGATATGGAAGAAAATATCATCCTAATTTTATTGGTTTAACATTACACGTCTGGTAGAGTAGAAGTTAAAAAATACTCGAAATTCTGTTCACTTCCATTGATTAGGTCACGTCACTGGTTTCACTTCCCATAATGTTTTCTGTGCGATACATCAGTCAGAAATCGAAAAAATATTTACTAAATGTTATCTCAAATTCAATTGTACTCTACAAGGGGAAACATAAGTTACGCTTCCATTCCTGTGACGACGGACCACGGGTGAACTCGAGGAAGCTGTAGGAGGCTCAGAAGGAGCCTCCGATATTCCATCCAATCACCTTTTGGGAGGATATTTTAGAATTCCTACGTGTAGCTTCCCGATTGGACAATGCTAATAACCCCGTGTATGCGGATTGGAGGACTGTAATGATGATTTCGTTCTTACTGAAAACTATAAATACCTGGGAATTTTGTACTATAATTGACACTGTCTGAGAATAATATTCCTTTCATTAGTCTTCTTATTGCTACTTGGAAGGGTTCTGGCGTTCTAGTGCTCACGTTATACGCGGTATATCAAGAACAACCTTCTAGATATAACAATTCCTTTCTCCAAATATGTTTTTATGCAATACATTTATATTCCTACTGTTAATAGAATAAGGTATCTGTGAAATGATAAACATCTAGTGATTTAACTTAATCCATGGAAAAATGGACAGATATTACATAAGAAATAAGCTTGTGTATATGATATTTTTTGTTCACCAAGAACTGCTTATTAATTGGTTTTTCAATAAATTTCCTTTCTTCTAGTAAATCGACCATCTATCTTCTTGATCCCGCTGACCTATTTGATTTGTTCACAATGAATCCGTCTATAGATTTTTCGTAAGTTTTTTAACCCTCATTGTATTTTACTTATGTACCAAAATAACTAATAATAAGCTGAAGGAAACTCAATACTTTTTACGCATGTAATAGTTTTTAACACTTTATGACTGACAATTATGGAATTCTTTAACGTATTTTATTTGAACACATACATATTGGTACAAGAGTGCGCCAAATATATATGCGCCACAAAAAACAATCAGAATTTAAAAAGAAGGAAAGAGAAAAAAGGTAAGGAAGGTTAAAAAACAATAAGGAATAGATTGATGTACGGTGGTGTGGTAGTAATGAGGGAACGGAAAGGTACAATCAGAAGAAATCTTAAAGGTAAGGGAGACACAACCACTTTTTATGAAGAAGGTAAAAGAAGGTTACAGCAAGATCGCCACAAGCTTCTATTCCGAACCATATCTGATAACATCTCTAGCCACTGTGTAGCACCATCTCTCGGACCCCAACCAGGGAATCAAGAAGGATCAACAGAAGCCAGCCCTTTGCAGCTTTCTTTCATGCCACGACACCATGTCATATATATTCTTTAACGTATTCCTAGTTGTGTGAATAGTTTAATTCCCCAGTGTCCTGACAGACCGTTGTTGTTGTGTTTTTTTCCGAATGCCCATATGTAAATATTTTTTTCGCTTTAGATGTGTTTTTTTCTTCCTCACTTTTTTAATAATACAGGTTTCATTTTAGTGTTCTGGAAGCATTTTATGGCACATCTAGTACAATTAAAGAATTGGTTATCATTCTTAGCTCAAGTAAAAAGGAAACTTATACAGTTGCTTGGTTATTCTTCGTCGCTTTACTAACGTATTGTTTGTTTGTTAGAACTGTAAATTCGTTTTCGACAGAAAGTCATGATGATTTCGTCTTTCCGTCTTTTATAAGCGAAATTCGTGCTTATCTGCCAAAGCAAATAACCATTTCAACAATCTCCAGTTTAGATCCTGAAACCATTTTCATTAATATAGCTGCTTATTTCGATGAACTTTCTGTAAGTCATTTACCTTTATCCTGATTTCTAACTTTTTAATCTAGTAGTTTACACGTTTAGGAAAGACATGACTTAAAATCCTAAGAATCCTAAGTCACTGAAATCACCACTAATTCAACCACACTTTGGCTGTTCTGTCATAATTGAAATTTAACTGAAGGTCTGAATCATTGGATTATTTAAATGTATCCCATAAATCATATGGTCGAAATACCGAATTCAATGCATGGTAGCACACTATTACTTAGTTCAGACTTTCAGTGACAGCTGTAGTTCATAGAGAGAAAGATAACAAGACTTCATTTTTAACTCTTCAATAATATGCACTAACCTCCCTCCCCCATCATTAGCTGTCGCGAAGAGTTACGAAAATCAACATTAAAATTCTTTCGTGAATAGAGTAATACATTTTTGTCAGTTCTGAAATGCCCTGGTACGAGTGAGTGGGAGAGTCAGCTCTCCCACTCCAAATGCTCCCAAGTGTCCATGTGCATACAATCACTGCCAGGGAAGTTCTACTCACTACCTTCTCGTAGTGGGAGTATTGTTTACAAAATTGAGAGGACGGAAATCGAATGTATGGGCACTCGGGTAGTATCCCAGCCCTCACAAAAATCAAATGATTTATATGGCTCATATCCGTTTGGTACCTCCTTGTATCAATGTTTATGTGTTTAAATGAATAATAAATAAATAAATGTTTCAATGGTTAAAATCATGAGTCAATTGAAGCTAGACCACCATGGAAAACCTGGAAGCACTGGATAACCGTTTCGTTCTATTGTGGGACTCCTCAGCAGTGCGCATGTTTGTCAGTCTGTTTTGTGAACGACCAAACTCCATGTTCAGCATATGTTGCTAGAAATTACTTTCTTGAAGTCTTGTTGACACAACTCAAATCACTCAGTTGCTTCCGCTACAAAGACTAGTAATAAGCACTGTATAATCTTTGTTTCTCGGCAATTAACATCATTAGGTCTTAATCAAATTGTTTATATAAAAGTTTGTTAAAATCATATATTATTACAAATTTGAAATGAATGTCTTCATTAGTATCACGGAATTAATGTTTTCCGCTGTAACAAAATTTGTTTATTTAGTCATCGAAAATAAAAATACTTTTATTTTTCTACCCTCAGAGTACTTAAAGATTTCAGTTAAACATTCACCATCATTTTACTACAAACCCTTGAAAGATGCTAATCTTGTATAGCATTTTGCCAACTTGGTTCCTTATATACTCTTCTATGAGTAAGTGAAAGTGCACGTTTCTGTTCCATTCCTAAATTTAGATAACGATTTCCATGATCCAAAGATTGAAATTATTTGGCATTCACTCGTAAGTTAGTTTTAGCACGTCACCATCTATTGTAAAAATTTGATAAGGCATAGTGAAATTAGGTGTAGCAGTACTAATAAAAATGTTTTAGTAATAATAAATCTCTCTACCGATACGCTTAAGCTGTCTCCTTAACCAGTTCCAATATCTCCAACTACTTCTACCCATCAACTGGAACACTAGAGAGGTGTGTATCGCGAGTGAAAGCTTCACCCCAAGGTTGTTTCATGTACAGAAAGACGAGGGTATTTGTAGAAATGCACACGACCTTGGGCCGGGTTTCTGGAACCATATTAAATATAGTTGTTGTTGTAGTTAAGGTTATTATCCAATCAAAACTGTAACCCATAATTCTGCATTTCCTAGATGTTTCTGCGAATATTCTGTTCAACGCTGACTGGATTAAACGTCTCCGGGCTTCTAGGGACTTTGACGAGGGATATTTGTGGGACTCCTCCAATATTACATGTACTTTTGATACAGTAGCGTTTTGTTTAATATTTCATGTGCCATCTGACATGTATTTGTCTTTTAACCTTTTCATTTGATTATCTGTAGACATTTCAAGCTCGGATGTTATTCAAATCTGTTTTTGTTGAATATATTGGTCGATTAAGTGAGTTTATTTGTACATGTTGCTCTGTGTCCAGTTCTGCACAGGAAAGTGGTTTTGGTTTGAGTCACACGACACAGAACAGTTTCTTAAAACCGGAGGATTTATGTGGAAGCGGTTATCGAGTGGCAGGGATGTTAATTCGTCACTGTTCAATGTTACTTTATTCTCCAGTCACTACCGAAGGCTCAGTATCAAGCTTTGAGAAATTGGTGAATCACTTTTTTCTTCCACGACAGTTATACGAAACACAGGATTCTAACAGATTTTCTACTCTCAACGAATCCAATATATTCCCATGTTATGTTATGGAGTCCATGCAAGAGCAGCTACCTGAAGTAATTATAAATAAACTACTTACATACTTCTAAATATCGATTTTAATAACTTCATTTTTATACCATCAAATATTCCTAGCCTTTTTTCTTGATGTTACTTCAGTTTTATTTTAACTGCATCAGTATATAGTTTTACTTATTCAACGAATATTTCGTTTTATATCAAATTTCTAATCTCTAATTTACAGCTTACACGTGGTATTGCTCAATTAAATTGGAAAAGTGATCCTTATCTATGTCGCATAATAAAAGACATTGTCAAAATACATTATAAACACCTTGGTCCAGGAGCTATTGCCGTAAGCTTTTATTAATGTCTTTTTCTTTGTTTCTCCTACAAATCCTTTTTTGTAATAGTTTTATATCATCTTTTTTTTAATTATTTAGTCAATGGTACTAAATAGCCCTACATTGGATTTTCGGACTCATATTTTGCAGTTTGCCACTTACGATCAAATTATCTATCTGACTGAGAGTAAAGCTTTGTCCGTTTCTGGTTGTGAACAAATCACATATCAGCGCAACATTCTGTCTAATGTAGGTCTCAAAGTTCTATTTTTCAAAGTTTTGGTTTCATAACTAACCAGTTTTCTCTACTTGACATTTTCATGTTATTATTCTTAACAACTCAAACTTTTTTGAAAATTCGATCCTTTTCTAAATGATCTCGTTTATTGAATTAAATGCCTTCATATGCCTCTGCGAATTTGTCAGATTAGAATTGGATTTTCTTGCATTTTCTTCCTTTGAAAACAGTAGTTAAAAGGCAATCAGTGTACAATAGCATTGTTTGCAGCGTGATCCGTGGTTAGATTCTGTGTATTACATTTCCGTTGACTACCTTATAATAAGACTATCGCTGTAAGAGACATTACTGTACATCTTTGATCTGAAATGAAATATCATCCCCAAGTCATGACATGGGGATGTCATGACTTAAATAGAGGACACTTGAAGTTCTCATTAGTATACACAAAAAATGACATTAATTTTAAAAGGCTTTCAAACTCAAAATACCATACAAGAAACAACATTTTAGCTTGATGTCGTGTGTTAGATAGGTGGTTTTTATATAATCACTAACTTCAATAATCAACTCGCGTTATCCCTTTGTTTGATAATGTTTTTGGCTAATGTTTTTCCTAAGATCAGATTAATCTGTATTTCTCCAACTTAAGTATAAATTTGACGGCTTAGTAATCTAAATATTTGTGATATTAAAATTATTTTCTTGTAACATTTGTAGCTGACTCTAAAAAGTCTTACCAACGATATCCCCCGTATTTCGATTATCCGTATTCAAGATTAAGGTAAATGAATGTCAGTTCTCCCATATACCATCGCAAAATCTATGTTTTAAATTCGCTTATCCGAGAACCTTATGAGATCTTCGACTGGTTTATATGATGTTGTTGTCCTAATCTAGTCCTAAATTAGCTTTAAGTCACTGGATCCTCATTAAGTCGTTTATATCTTCCCTTGTTAGGTGTAATCAAGACAGGAAAGAACTAGCCTGATAAACTCTGGTGTTATCGCCAAATACTTCCTGACTGATTGCAGCCAATATCTAGTAGAAAAGGAATAGATGCGTAAATTGGGGATGTTTCAAACTTGACGTTTTCTTCAACTCGCCTTTGCTATTTCATCTCTGTTTTTATTAGTTATTCTATCAATAAGTTATTAACGATATTGTAAATCTCATGACTGCTGTCTTTTAGCGTGAAGAAAGTTCAATCACAATCAATTATGCCATTGAGTGTATGGTTTTAAATCAGTTTCTTATTGCCATCGTGTTCTGTTGCTACCAATTTACTGATTAATATTCTATATTTTTAGTGGTCGAATATGTTCTATTACTATGTAGTTATTATTTCACATGCGTTTATCTGATTATTATTCGAAATCGGAGTTATTGCAAATAATTTCTTCTCCTTTAAATTAGTGGGTGGATTTCGCATATTCAATATACTCCAATACATATTCAAGTGGTATTTACCTGAGGTTAGTTGTCGAACTCTCTTCCAGACATCTCCATCCTTTAAATGCATTGCTTTTTTTATCATCAGTATATATATGTATATATATCATGTCGGTTGTATGAGACAGGACATTTAATACGTACTGATAAGACACGTTAGAATGCCGTTTTTTATTACGTAGACAAACAACTAGGCAACGCTGCGGACATACTTCCTGTACTCAAATCTACTGCCATATTTTTTTATGTTTGATGGTAGCTAGTAGTGTGACATCTCATAGTTCATAAGTCATTTGACCAAGTACCCAAAAATGAGCTGTCTAACAATCATGTAATGAGAACTAATTTACTATTCATAACTAGACACTACCAGTGTTACGAATAGAAAACGGAGTGACTCGCATATCATATCGAGTGTACTAATACCTAAAGATGGACTTGTAGTTTAGAAGTTTTTCAGGACTTACTTTAGTAATAACTAATGGGTCGTAATTGATGGCGAAAACAATCGGGTAATGTCGCTAGTTCGAACATGATAGAAGCCCACTAGCCAGAGTATCGAACTCCATACGGTCAGTGAGTTGAATTGTAATCATAATTATCAGATCCCGAAAATAAATGTAAATGATAACTTAGCTTTATGAGAAGAAATTAAGGTGCCTGGCAAAAGTATTTACTGAAATCAATTTACCCATACTGTTGCATCTATTACTCTGTAAGTTGAGTAAGTATACTGTTAAATGTATTTTTTTCTAAGGTTATCTAGTGGTGGATAGTATGCATCCAGACACTAGTGCAACTAAGTAATTTTCACTACTAATTGTTGTGATTTTCTTATACGTTACCTACCTAATCGACAACCAGCTAACATTATCCAACAAGAATCTCGATTATAAATCTTTCTCGTCTACAGACTAACGTCCTATAGTTTGGATAATTGAAACACCTCGACGGACAAGGAATAACCTACTGGTCCACAACACGCGCCTGTTCTGTCCTTGTATTTAGTCCGAAGTAAAAGGATATAATGAGAAACAAGCTTCTATCATCATATTTCATTCACTCAGGTGAACCGCAGTCTGTTGTCCAAAACCAATATGGGGAATATGGAAGTATTGTAATCAGGTTATTTAATGTACAAAATAAAAATATGTAATAATATTCCCTAAAATAGATCCAAAAGTCAACATTTTCTCGGTATTTGATTCTTTATAGTAGTACTGAAAGCTTCTTTTGAATTTTGGTAGCTTACTTAATAATTTGTCTCTGTATTATTATATGTTCTAGTTGAGATCAGTACAAACATTAATATCCAGACATCTAAAGGTTTTTTGCTTTATTTATTAAGAGAACATTTTCAGAAATGTGATTGTATTCATACAATTTTGAAATTACATATATTCACTGCGTATCATTCCTTTTTTTACAGTGATGCTCCATTTTTAGTTTGCCCTATTCTACTGTCAAACACCTTAAAAGATTTAACTAGCGCATTGAATTCTGATAGTCGCAAACACAGTATACATATTCTTAAAACGTATAAAGAAGCGGTCACATCGGTAGCTTGTAAAGAAACAAGGTAATCTTCACAAAGCATTTGTTTAACCGTTTTCGTTAATCTTTCATTGTCTTTTAATTTATTCATATATTTCTGTTATATCATGATTTTTTTGTTTAGAAACCAATGTTTGCTTCCCTAATATGTAGTAATTGTATTCGTCAATCAACTGATTACAGTAGACCATGACGTTTGACTTAATAATCTTCAGTGTGTAACTAACGCAATATTAGACTATAAGTTTATCTTCTGCTAACTAAACATAATTATCGTGATGATATGAAACAATTTTTGGCTGTTAAACATCAATGTGATTAATTCAGCACCTTTAACCACACCATAATAGTTTCTAGTCTTAATTGACTTCAGTTTTATAGTTCTTAAAAAAAGAACCACAATGTGTGCTGGATACCGTGAATTTTCACGCCCGAGATTTCAAGATATTTTTGGTATAAAGGAATTTTCCTTAGTCAACTTTCATTTCACAATTTAATATAGCCTTGCGGGATCTGAACGATCATAGATAAACTGATACTCATTATTTTGCAACTGCAATAGAAACTATATTCACGAAAACTTAAAATAAACTTAATGTGGCGCGCAGAAAACCCATGTTCGGCCAAATGTTGAATAAAAGTGTCGTATTTTGATCAACGTACCAAAATTAGAGACTAACTCAAATTTTATCGAAGGAATGTGGAGCAAGTAACTATGATAAAGTTGTCCACTGTCGGTGGGCTGACAAGATTTCTTTGTTTTTGCATCACATAACATGTTTTCACGTGTTGTGACTGCTTTTTTGATAAACCAGCTGAAAACATTTTTGTGATACGGACTAAAAATATTTTATACGATTTCCTTACCAGAAGACTAAAATCTAGTTTTTTCTAATCTCTAGATCTCGTATCCTTGAGCTCTGCTGTAACCTGGATAAGAAAACCATGGACCCTTCATGCACTCTCGTCGGATATTTTGGTCTAAAATAGTATTTCTTTCAGCCTGTTCACATTAGTGAGACACGAATTATATGTAACGCACCCTAAAAATGATATTTACATTCAATAAAGTTTTTTATCACTTCGTCTTAATGATTGTATGGGAATTATAAATCGGATATATATAGCGCCTTTTCGAAACTTATCTATTTGTTACAATTGTCTCATCCCACGTATTTCATTCTCCGGTTGTTAGGTCTCAACAAGTTGTCCCTTCGGCACTGCGGTCACGCTCTCAGTTCACTAAGACCAACTCTAGCTCAATTTCCTTCTCAAGTACCTCTAGAAGAACCCTTCTACGGTGTGGGCAACCGGGAAGTGATAACCGCCCTCATACCTTTAACAGCACTCAAGACCACTGTATTCATAATCAACCCCACTCTTCAATTCCTATCATCCCTCCTACATCGACTTTCAAGCCTAAGCTTCCTCCTCAAGTGTCACCATAGCCGACGATTCTAGTGCGCAAAACACTGTCTCAGGTCTACTGAAACCTCGCTCAAAACTACACATTGGAGCCTTCTGAGTACTCACCCTATGTCAAATCGATCAGCAGGCCTCCTTGGCTAAAACCCTAGAACCTCGTACCATTGATGTATACTGTATCTCTGAAACACGCATACAGGATCCTAGTGTGATCATTCACTTTACCTCACCTAGCCAGAACGGGGAGCAAACGAGATACGCGCCTCGTTTATCTGGCGACCCGATGGCAGATTCTCGTGGACTAGCAGGTGTAGGCATAGCACTAAGCATGAGAGCGGAACAAGCACTGTTAGAGTGGATCCCCGTTAACAGTCGTTCATGTGTTGTTCGGCTAAACGGCCCCGCAAGAACTCGGAAGGATAGGGACACACGTCGTTGCCTTTTTGTCGTTTCTGCCTACATTCCCACTGACTGTAGCTCGGATGAACTGAAAGATGAATTTTATAGAAAGCTCTCTGAACTTCTTCAGAAAGCTAAACGTTCAGACATAGTACTCGTAGTAGGTGACTTGAATGCCCAGATCGGTAGTTTAAACCAAACAGAAAGGCATTAAGGTGCGTATTTTAGTATTCCGGCTCAGCGAACAGATAATGGTGATCGTCTTCCTCAACTGTCCTCAGAAAATCGTTTATCTATAGTAATCACTAATTTAAGTAGAGACATCGGAGAGAGCACTATTTTGAGCATAAGAAGATACATCGTCTAACATGGCGACCCCATACACCAAACCATCGATGGACTCCAATACACCATATTGCCATCATTCATCGTTGGAGAGGGTCGGTAGAAGATTGTCGCTCATTCTGGAGCACCTGCTTGGACTCCGACCATACCCTAATACGAGCACGCATCTGCTTGCACCTCACTGGACGCAAGAAAGTCACATTAAAATGACCCACTAGAACTGAAATGAGAAAACCAAAAGTAGGTTCCAGGAACAAACAAGGTCACATTTAGATAGTTCTGAAAATGAGGCTGACCCAGATGCAGCTAGGAGAGATATACAAGCAGCTGTGGAAACAGTAGTGACATCTGCCAGTAATTTAAGCCACAAGGTTACAAAGAACCAATGGATTTTTTCAAGGTCTATTAAACTGATGGGTTCTCGTAAACTCATACCATCAGGTTCTGAACACCATGGAGAGCGTAAACAAATCAGATCTAGGTTAAGCAAAAGTCTAAGGAACGACCGTGAGCAGTAGTGTGCAACGAAAGTTCACTTAGTTTAATAAACTAAAAAAACTATGTCTTGTAGCATCCACTTAGACTAAAACATCCCGGTTTGTATGGAAAATTACCACAAACTAAAGACCTTTTACCGGCAGATATTGTGGTGCTCATTAGAAAACTAGATACATCGGTCACATAACAGATGTAGTTTGTGCAGACCAAAGCCTAGTTGTATCCAGAAACAACAATTGGAACAGTTGCTGAATATACAGTACCTGGCGTCCCCTTATGTAACTAACCTATACCCCAATGCATCACATTGTTTCCATTTTATACAATTGTCTCTTAATTCAGAAATTTTTTCGAAAGGACTTAATTGTAACATTATTCGATTTTCAACTATCTAGCTGTTATTATCAAGTACAGCTATACTCCATCCTCTAAAATTCCATTTGATGTGCTGAACCATCTACATAACTTCATCCTATATGGGACTGTGACCTTGTAACTAATTTGCATAAATGTTAGGGATATTACCAACTTTACTGCATCTTTCAGTTTTCATTAAAAAGTCCTCTTACTCCAGCGGACGTTTCTATTTTTCTTGTAAATTGCAAAGTAGCAAGTTATGGATTGTTAGTGCTGATTTCAAGAAGGTAGAGTATAATAAGTGACTTTGGTGACTGTGTATCGAACATACTTGGAGACGTTATCTGCACGTAGTTCAGACCAAATGAGGGAGTTATATGAGCTGAATAATGTGCAAATCAATAACAGTGCAGCATGTTATACTGTCACTTCGTGACGGAAGTTATGTTCAGTGGTTAATTTCGGTCTGTAGAAGATCTGGTTATCATATTCCAGTTGGAGACCACTCCTTGTTTTCATACAATGCTTTCATAAGCATTATGAAATACTTATCTTACCAAGTTTTGGAGTTTGCAATAACATATTGATGTACTTAAAAAGTGAGCCAAAACATATAATCGGACTGAACTGTACTAATACGACAGTACGTAGGAGATCATCTGTCTTGGATTTTAGTGATAGACAGACACCTTGTCCCAAACCAATTGGTTGGAACGATCATCCAAACCAATTATCGACTCTTGCTAGGTTACAACTTAATGTTAATTCACTAGAAAGCCCAGGTGAGTATTAATGACATTTAAAAGATGCCATGAAAATTGGTAGCAGCTTTGCTTTACGAACCACTAATTAAAAAAGTGAACTTTTCACCGTCCCTAAAACATTTTAATTTCCGTAGTTCTTATAACGCCACTTATACGCAAAACAAATAAGGTAGATCATTTAGGAGCAAGATCTCGCAGAACTTAAGTGAGAGTTGTAGACTAGCAACTGCGTGTGTCAACTAAGTCTGTTCCAACTCTCGTAAGCTACCAGTAGCAACAAGCCTGGTGTTAATAAAACAATTCGATTCTTTGGGAGGGACGCTTTACGGTCATCTTCAAAGGCATCTGTAAGGCTGGGCGAAATGTTTTGAGGAAATTTAACCTGGTTCATAGCCTCGGGAAATGAAACTAGTCAGAACACGCTTTCTGCTTCTTTAACAAGCATTCATTTACACAAAAATATAATTTATTTACTTCTGTATTATCAGTCTGCTCGAAAGAGTATTCATCAAATTCTAAGAATCTTGACCCAAAGTCATCTGTGGCTGGTAAAGTTGAATCTGAATCTGATAAACTATGAGTAATTGTTAAATAAATACGGTACCTGACATAGCTGCGTAACACTGGTGAAGTAACAAGATGGTAGATATTAAATTGCTTCTACAATACAATAACCATCATTGATATCTAACTTACACGGTTTATAATAATTCTAAATTACTACACTGGTGATTCGCCCAATAATTGGTTTATAAGACTCCTGAAAAATCAGACGTGATTTCCAAAATCCTAAGTGAAAGGAGGAGAAACAAAAGCCAATGCATTTGAGAAAAATATATATATATATATATATATATATATATATATATATATATATATATATATATATATATATATATATATATATCAAATCCATAAGACACTTAAAAAATTCTGGAAAGCCTGTTAGATGGAACGTAATCCAGCTGGTCCATATGGATCATGACCATGAAACTATATATTAAATAATACAACTGTAACATGATATGATATGATATGATGTAAATCATCAAGTCTGTTGGCAGAAGTAGCTACTTCATAGAGTATAGTGTATGAACCAATAAGATTTCGAAGGGAAAACCATTCAAAAGGCTACAAAACGTTTTTGCCTTTTATGTGGTGTTGAATTTTTATAAGAATAACAATAATTCATGTACAATGACTGATTCTTTATGCTAAAACTACTGATCAGTGGAATTTAAACGAATCATCATAGGTCGTCCTATAAGTAGGGACTTCGTCGCAGCTCAAGGTCGTCTGTGTACTAGAATAAGACGGCTTTTGGAAATATAACGGCAAACAATAACATAAGACGGAATAAGCGGTGCTGTGAATAACTAAATATGTTTAGTTGTGAAAGAATGCTTGCAGTTAAAATTTTGGCAATTAGTACAAGTGTACATATTGCAAGGTCAATATTGGAGCTCAAATGGTTGTGGACGGAATTGAAGAAGCTTTCGCTTAACAGGCTTCCGTGTCTAGTAGCAGGGGATCACAAAATCCTCCAGGCAGGAACCTAGGTGTGTCAACAATAAAAGAGGAAAAGAAATTGGTAAGTCATAGTGTGATGCTGTCCTTGGTCCTTAAGCACAGGTCAAGTTGCCTCTTCAAGGACTCCTGAGAAGTCGCTTGGACTAGCTCGGCTGGTAGCGAATTACAGATTTCGATAACTCTTAAGGAGTAGAAGTTGTGTCTACATTCCGTCTTGCTATGTTGTGTTTCCAGTTTCTGGGTGTTACCCCTTAGGTTATTATTCGAACTGAGCTTAAGTAGGTGTTTAAGAGGATGTCCAGAAGTGTTAAGAATACTATAAGCCATTAATAAATCATCTCTAAGACGCCTATACTGTAATGGGTAAAGGTCTAGTGAATGGAGGCGTTCTTCGTAAAGTTGTAGTGACTCACGTTCATCACGAGAACGCGACCGGTTTAATAAAAACAATTATTATTATAACCAACTGTACCAGTGTTTGTTTTAACGTGCTTTTGTTTGACTGTGCTAATTATAGCCATTTTTGTGCTTCCATTACCTTCCATTATTGTTCTGCGGTTTTTGGTACTGTTCGCACGTACTCCTGTCTTCTGCTTTCACTTGTACCATTTCTTGGCACGATCTCGGTATTCGTTCAATACCACGAGATCGCCAACGAAATAAATCTGGTTA